CTCCTGGATCTAGAATTACATGTAGTTTCAAGCTGCCTGATGCAGGAGCTGGGAATTGAACTCGGGTCCTCTGGAAGAGCAGTAAGTGCTTTTAACCATTGAGTCATCTCTTCAGTGCCACCACCCTGCCCTGCCTCTACCTCATAAGTGCTGGGATTATAGGTGTGTGGCCCCCATGGTTGATCTATTTTTAAGGCTAAAATAAGACTTGTGTACTGCTTTTTCTCTGTACATACAGAAATATCTAATGACTGAAATACAAACATTGAGCTGAGCACTAAAGGTCTGTGTATTTGTTTTGTTTTCTTTTTTTTTTTTTTTTAAAGATTTATTTATTATGTATACAGTGTTCTGACTGCATGTATGCCTGCAGGCCAGAAGAGGGCACAGATCTCATTACAGATGGTTGTGAGCCACCATGTGCCTGTGGGGAATTGAACTCAGGACCTCTGGAAGAACAGCCAGTGCTCTTAACATCTGAGCCATCTCTCCAACCTCCTATGTATTTATTTATATGTAAATTATTATAAAATAAAAAGAAGCAATGGAAAAGATTATGCTTTTTTTTTTCAATAGCAGGATATAGAATGTTATGCGTGGAGGGTCTTATTACACCTTATTATTTGCTTAACCCTCCTAAACAACCCACAAGCCATGAATGTGTTCTGCATTATCTGTAACCTGTGTTTGTTAGTCAAATACAGTCACCATTTTCAGGAAAGTTCACTTGAGCCTTTGTCATGAAATCCCAGAGCTGTTGCTGCTGTTAGTTCACAAACAAAGCAACACAGCAACTTGTGGACATATTTTCAAGCGTATGGCTGTGGTTCATTTGCTTAAGTGGCAGCAGGGCACTCCAGTGATTAATCCTTTATTGATAGTCATTAAGAATGCTTCTAGCTTTTTAAAATTAAAGTTAGCATGGCTGTGATAGCAATGAAGAAACAAACACACCAAGGCATAAACGTGTGAAAGACTCATTGCTAAGCCCCTCTCTCTCAAACCAATCTCTCCTCTTCCCAAGAGTATATGAGAACACTCATTTCCCCTACATTATCATCCGTACAGAGTTGGTCTGTCCTCCCACCTCTGCCCAAGCAAATAGATTAAATAAATCAGTTGACAAACATTGCATTAGCTATTTTAATGAATATTTCTTTCCTGAGTTGCATTAGTGTCTTTAAACACACATACACACACACACACACACACACACACACACACACACACACACACGTTTTAAACACTACAAAGTGGGAAAAATTGTGTGGAGAGAAAAGAGATGCCAAGAGACAGAAAAACAAACTTCTCAGCATTGAAGTCATCAGTGAGTGCTACTTGCTTGGATAGGCCAGCAAGGAGAATTTGTCAAATTTTTCAAATTAATTTCATAAGAATGTTGCATTTTATTCTTTAACTCTTTGACAGTCTGTCATAGCTTCTTATATTGCTTTTGAAATTTCAGCATTAAAAATCATTTTATTCATTTTAGTGAGTTTTTGGGATAAAGTTTCTTGCTTATTTTGTGTATGTGCATGTGTATGTGTGATGTGTATGCATGTGTGTGTGTGTGTGTGTTTGCATGCCTGTGAGCATACATATCGTGTTTGTGTATGTGTACTTGTATGTGTTCATGTTAAGCCAGAAGTTGATGCCTGGTATTCTCCTCAGTCACTTCATTACTGAGGCAGGGTCTCTCACTTATCCTGCAGCTCACTGGTTCAGCTAGTCTGTCTAGCCAGCTTGCCAAGTAGACTCCTCTAGCTCTGCCTCCTGAACGCTGGGATTGCAGGCAAGTTGCCATCCGACCAGACTTTATGTGGGGATGTGAATTTTGGTCCTCAGATTTGTGCACAGGAAACATTCTATCCACTGAGCCATCTCTCCAACCTTAAGCCCACATGTCCCAGGATGGCCATGCATGTGGACCAGTGTGAGAAACACACAAAACACACAAAAGTAAGGCAGTTATTTTATAACTGTGCAGCATTAGACATTCCAGAATGTGGACATACAGGGTGAGGACATACAGAGAATAGTTTGTAACCCCTGAATTCATGAACTTCCTCCATTTGTTTCCTCATTAACTGGGTGGTGGTGGGGGGGTATAATCTTGTACAGCACCTAGGTCTTACCCCTCCATTTGTCAATTGCATATATCATTTCTGAAACAAAAATTGTGCGTGGCTTCATCATTTTAAAACTTATCAGGAACATGACTTTCAGGCAAGCTTGGCTGTTAGTAATTTTCTACTCTGAACTTCTAGCTTGTTTAGTTATTCATTGATTTACTTTGTGGGAATGATAGCTAAACTAGCAGGCATTTACAAGAGTTGGGCAGACACTAGTTCAAGACACCTTTGAAAATGAACCATCAGATTTGATTTCTTTCACATAGGACCCTTTCTCAAAAAAGAGAATATATTATGTATTGCTATACATTAGACTACCCTTCACCTCTCCTTGTTACCCTAAAATATAGATTTGATAAGAAAGTTGGGATAAATGCTTTATTTCTTCCTTTATTAGTTTTATAATAAACAATACTACATAACTTCCAAGAGTGGTTAATTATATATTTGATGTAGTTCAATAGAGTTGATTATTTTAATCCAAACTAACTGAAAACTGAGTTTCATTTCTCCCCAGACTCTGTTTGAGTGTCAGGTTCCTGTCATCTCTGAAATGCTTGTGTTTCCCTGGAGGGTTCAGTCCCCCGACTCAGCTCATACAGTTTGAACTACAAGGCATCATGGATCCTTGCACAGATGCCCTCCTGTTCATCCTTTTCTGTCTTGCACTGAGGCTCTGAAGTCTATTTTAAAAGTTATTATTTTTCTTTAAAATATTACTGGCATTCTGGAGGTTTGTCTCTGTCATTTCTTCTTTGTGCTTCAAACATTGCAAAAGATGATACCTTTCTACTACAGGAGCAAGCGTTGAAAGAGAGTGGAACTTCAGACACCCAAATTTTCCCTACTTAGCTTAAGTTAGTAGGTGCTCAGAACAGAGGCTCCTGTCCGTGGAAAGTCAAGTATGACTTTGGGCATCTGCAGTAACTGACCAATCCTTGTTAGGTGTGCATATTCTCCTGCCCATCTGGGACAGTGGAGCTGAGTGTCCAAAGGTTTTGATGAGCAGGGGAATAGATACGAATTTACATGTCATTTTAACATAGAGGATATGGATTAAGAAGAGAGTGGAGGTCTAGATCTTTGCCTATTTATTATTTTGCTTGCTCTTAATCTTTATGAAGACTGTTTTTGTAAGCTTAAAAGACAATCATCAACTTGGCGGTTTTCATCTACAAAACAGCAGTGGCTTAAATATGATCTACTAGTAAATACAAAAGGCAGTGATGACAAAGATACCGCAGAGAGAAAGAAGGGCAGGAATTGGGCCACCAGAAAAGCCTAGTTCCATTCACTTATCCGACAAAAATAAATTAATAAATAATTTAATTAATTAACATACACATTAAAAATTCCAGGGAGAGAAAGAAATTCAGTCTTGTCCTGAAACTGTAAGTCCTCACTTGGCATGTGGACAGTCACACTAATGTGTGGCTTGAAAAGTTAACATGGTTGTGCTAACATCAATGACTGTGCTTACGCAACCTAAGACTTTGGACATAACCAGGCAATCATAGTCTTTATTTGTTGAAATGTCCTCATGTGTTATTTATCTGTAGTTTAAATTTAAAACCTTTGAATAAAGCTGGGTCTGGTGGTGAAGGCTTGAAATCCCAACCACTCATAAGACCGAAGCAGGAGGATCTCAAATCTGAAGCCAACCTGGGCTCCAGAGTACATGGAGTTCAGCCCAGGGGACTTTGAGACATCTTGACTTAAAAAGTAAAAGGAAGCCTGGAGGCAGGGCTCAGGGGCAGAGCACATGTCTAGTATCCATCGGGCCTCAAGCTTCAAGTTTGAATCACAAGGAACGCGAAAAGACCTCAGAGTGGGAGGTGTGGCAAACCACTTGCCGAGCTTACCGACCGAGTTTGGTACCTGGGCCCCACTCAGTGGAAGGAGAGAACCAGTTCCTGCAAATAGTACTTCTCTGAATGCCACACTCACCCTGTGGGGGCATTTTAAAAAGCAGCAGCAAATGACTTAAAAAAAAAAAAAAAAAAACCCTAGATCTTCACTGAGAAAATAATCATTTTGGGGTGTTGCTAGGCACCACTTACATTTGATGCGGTAGAAAAGTATTTATGCTTCTTTCCCTAAACAATCTGTATTTCAGAATAATTTATAGAATTGTGAGAAAAGTACAAGTGTATGTCTATTGGATTAGCGGATCTGAAAACCCTTGATAAACATTTCTTTTACTTAGGGGGCCATTTAGGGAGGCAGTATCAAAGGGAGCCACTTGGTGGACTGCAAAGCCTTCTGGGTCTAAGATTACCATCTGGCTTCAGAATGTTCTGGAGCCATGGCCCCTGGGACACGCAGGGAGGCGTAGATAACGGAATCAGAATCACTAGCAAACTGCACAAACCAGCCTTGGGGGAATAGCCTTACTTACCACGGTGGATCAGAAACTCTGAGCAAACCAGAGTTCATGAGAGTTCATTCAAGGAGCATTTTATTCATCTGGGAGGAGTCTCAGGAGCAAGGGTGGAGTCTGAGAACGGGGAGGAGCCTCAGGAGCTGGGGCGGGGCCTGGGAGACGGGGAGGAGCCTCAGGAGCTGGGGCGGGGCCTGGGAGACGGGGAGGAGCCTCAGGAGCTGGGGCGGGGCTTGGGCGTCAAAGGAGGAGCCTCTGGCTCCGGGGGCGGGGCGGGCCCTGGGATTGCGCAGGCGCGCTGCACTGACCTGTGGCGCAAGGCTGCGCACTGGTGTCGAGCGCTCAAGCACGAGCGCAAAGTATCCCGTGCCTCGCCAACCAAGCAGCCAGCGTGTGAGGCTTTTCGGGTCCTCAGCCGCCCACAGGGGTCTTTCCTCTTGTCACTAGCACTTTTATTTTTATGTTTTTAATTTCAAGCGCTTGGCTGAGGGGGAAGTAGAGGAGGAGATTAATAACCCTTGAGTGAGGGGCGAAGATGGAGACAGGTGCCCAGGTCTCAGACTGTGACAGCGATGAAACAGTGATTGAGGGGTCGGTGACAGAGAACGAACTGGACGATGAGGAGCTCCCCTGGAGAAGGTACGTCTTTGGTTGACTTTGTCCCTCAGGGACATACTAGCACTATGTTCGTGTGGTGATAAAATAACTGTGAGTTCGAGGCCAGCCTGGTCTTCTACAGAGCTAGTGCCCGAGAGGCTCCAAAGCCACACAGAGAAACCCTGTCTCGAAAAACCAAAAGGAAAAACAAACAAAAACCCTGAGGGAGTTTGGAGCAAAAGAGCCAAGCATGGGAGACATAAGCTTAAACAGTCGTATTAAATTAGCTCATGCAAGTATTTTGATCAAGATCAATGCCAATATAGAGGAGGTTCTCCTACTGATGAAGGTTGAATGTGGTCAAACACTGTCTTTGGACCATTATGTCGAAAGCATGCTTTAATTAGATGTTTTTAACTAAATTAAAAGATCAACATGATTTTGTTACTTCCTTTGGTATTAGTCTGTGATGTAGACGTGTAAGATGAAATAAATCCTTTCTTACCAAAGTTGCATTTGGTTATGGTGTTTTATCACAGCCAATAACTAAAATAATCTTAACTAAGACAATTAAGTGCTATTAATATGTCTCTTGTCCCCTTAAACATAATGACAAAATATTTGTAAAAATGAATGTAACTAGGCGAACTTTTTTCTTCTTGGGTAAATTCTATTTCAAAGTAAATGTTCCTGAAATAGTGCTTTGAAATGTATGTATTTATAGTAGTATAAAGAACTTTAGCAATTTAAGTTCTAATAAAAGTGATAACTAAAATGTTAACTCTGATATTTTGGAAATATCTAATGTGTTTTGTTTGTTTTGTTTTTGCATTTGAAAGGCTGCTCTTGAATCAAGACACATCTTTGAAATCTGAGTTCTGTTTTCATTCTGGTGTAGATGGAATGTGGAAAGGTGAGAAAAAGCATTTACTAGATCTTGTCAATGTCCCAAGTATCATTCTGTTAACTTCATATTTTATGTTACTCTTCTTCTTTAACATACACACAAAAAATTATTACATGCACTTGTAACAGATCCTAAGATGCCTTAAGATCTGTAATAGAGATAGTATTGGGAACTGCAGCTTCCAGCGGCTGTGTCGGGCTCCTAAAATGGGTACAGAAGTATTGTAGTGACATCTGGACAGCTCTTCTCATCATCTTCTAATCCCTAGCTAAAGTCTAAAACTTATTTATAAAAGTACAAAATAACATTTTTAAACAATTTTCATGGTTTATTATTTATTTTTAAAACTTAGAACACAGAGTAATGAATTCTTTTATGGCCTTTTCATACATATATGTCATTATAATTCTTATTTATCTCTCATCAATAAGACATGTGTGTGTGTGTGTGTGTGTGTGTGCCTGTGTGTTTATAGATATACGTGTGTGTGAGTACACATGCTTATGTATGTGCATGCACTTGGAAGGACAACCTCATGTATCATCTCTCATGCATACAACCTTTATTTATTTATGTTTTTTCCTGGAACTTATCAAGTTAGGTTGCTTTGTCAACAGGGAATCTTGTGTTGAGACTTGTTTTGTGTCCTAGTATGAGATCTGTTTTAGAGAAAGTTCCATGGGCTGCTGGAAAGAATGTGTATTCTTTAGTGTTTTAGGCAGAATGTCTTGCAAATACTGTTAGGTCTATTTTATTTATGTCATTTAACTACAGTTTGTATTTTACTTTTTTCCCCCCAGATGACCTGTCATTGGTAAAAGTTGGAGTATTGAAATTGCCCACTATCTCTGTGTTGGAATTCATTTGTGGGCTTAAGTCTAATAGGATTTTTTTTGTTGTTGTTGTTGATGTGTGTGCATGTGCAAAATTGGGTGCTTCTTTGTTTGGTGCATATATGTTTAGGGTTATAATATTCTGTTGTTTTCCTTTAATGAGTATAGAGTGTTTTTCCCATTCTTTCTAACTAGTTTTGATTTGAAGTCTGCAGATATGTTTTTTGCCCTTTTACTCTGAGGTTGTGTCTGCTTCTTGGTCGTGAGGTATACCTTTCTTGGAAGTATCAAAAATACAGATCCTGTTTTCTGATCCAGTCTGTTAGTCTTTGTGTGTTGGGGGGATTCATATCATTTATATTAAGAGTTACTGAATCACATATGTTAATTCCTTACATTTGTTACCCTTGTTAAACCACTTTGATTCAGTGTTCTGGAACTGTTTGTTTCTTGTGTCTTCTCGAACATGCTTTAAGATATTCAGATCTGCTGGACTATGATGAAGCATGACTTTAGCCCCAGCACATGGTAAGCAGAGGCAGGTAGACCTCTGAGAGTTCGAGGCCAGCCTGGTCTACAGAGTGAGTTCCAGGACAGCCAGACCTACTCAGAGAAACCCTGTCTCAAAAAAAAAAAAAAAAAAACAAAAAAGATCTTTAGATTTAAGCATTCCTTTCTGTATCCTATGGTGGTCATAGTTTTTTAAAATCTGGAAAGTTTTCTTTTTCCTTTGATTATGACCAATAGTTTTTCTGGGTACAGTGGTGTTATTTGTGCTCTTTACTAACTTCGGGCTTTTGGTATTCATTGAAAAATCAGCTGTTAATTCATGATGGGCCTGCCTTTCTATGCGACTTGATCTTTGTCTCTTGGTGCTCTCAATATCTTTTCTTTGTTCTGTCGCTTAGTGTTTTGATATGATGTGGGGAGGAGTTTCTTTCTTGGCTTTGTCTATTTGATATTCTGTATGCCTCTTGGACTTGGATGGGCATTTCTTTCCTTAGATTAACAAAGTTTTATGTAATTTTATTTAATATATTTTCTATGCATATGTGTTCTTTTTCTATTATTCATAGATTTTGTCTTTTTATAGTGTTCCAGACTTCCTTCATTTCCATTTTTGAGTGTGTGTGTGTGTGTGTGTGTGTGTGAAATTCAACATTTTCTCTGATCTATTTACTCTGCTTTTAACATTCTCTGATACAGTTCCCTTACTTGTCTTCAAGACCTGATGTTCTCTCTTCAATTTGATCTAATCTATCAGTGAATCTTTACTCTGAAATTTTTGTTTGAATTTCCTAATTTTTTATTTCAAGTTTTGTTTTATTCTTCAGAAATTTTGTTTTTTAAATTCCATTTTCATATGTTGAATTATTTTTGTTATATCATTGATCTGTTTTTGTTTTCTTTCCAGTGTTTATCATGTTTATTATTGCTATTTTGAAATCATTTTCTTGTATGTTATCTAAATCACTCTTCTTGGGGGATATTACTGTGTGAGAATCATTTTTTGGAGGAGACCTATATCTTTGGTTATTCATACTTTTTGTATTTGCAATGGAAGATAGGTCATTGGTAAAGTTTCTTGGAATGAGAATCCAGTTTCTCTTTGTTACTGAGTGTTGGAAGCCATGCTTCCTGTTACCCCTAACTTGTCAGATGGTTGGTGAGCTGTATGGGTTAGGGTCTTAGAGAAGCCTTTAAGCAATTCATTGTTAATGTTCATTGGGATATCAGAAATAGTCCCAGTTCAGCTTGAGCTAAGTAAGGTTTCTAAACCCAGGAGCAGACTTACTATAGAGTTAGATGATTCCCACAGCCAGTCTTCGGGAGCTTGGGGGAGGTGTTTAGGACTTTTCCTCAGGCAATCTGAGATGAATCCCTACCCAAAGAGAAAAGGCACTCTGTCTTCTGAGTTTTCTCATTTGCTCAGGATTTGTCTTTCTGTGTCTCCTTTGGTATAATTTCAAGCTCCATTAGTTTTTTCCCTGCAAATATCATGATTTCATTTTTATTCATGAATGGATGATTTTGCATTGTATATATGCCCCACTTTTCCTTTTTCTGTTGATGGACATCTAGGCTGTTTTTTACTTCCTGGCTATTGTAATAGTGTAGCTGTAAGTATGAATATGTAAGTATCTCTATGGTTTGTTGATTTAGAGTTCTTTGGGCATATGCTTAAGGATGGGATAATTGTGTTATATGGTAGTTTTATTTTTTAGGGAATATCCATGGTGACTGTAAAAGTTTACAGTACCAACAGTAGTGTCTAAGGGTTTGTCTTCTTTCATATTCTCACTAGCATTTGGTATTTACTTTCTTGATGACAATCATTAAAACTAGGGTGAGATGGAACTCAGCAGTTTTATTTTGCATGTCCATGACAGCGAAGGATGCTGAACACTTTTTCAAATATGTATTGGCTCTTTATGTATGTCTTTATGTTTGTCTTATTGAGAATTCTCTTATTCAGTTTATCAGTACATTGTGTAGCTCTCTTGGAACTCCTTCTATAGACTAGGCTGGCTGAGATCTGATAACAAAGATCCACCTATCTCTCCCATCCAAGTGCTGGAATTAAAGACATGTGTCATTATATTTTCTGATTAGATGATTTTCCTTGGTGTTTAATTTTTGAAGGTCTCCATATTGATCACATATCTGATGTGTGGCAGAGATGTCTTTCCCATTCTGTAGGAGGTATCCTCACTGTGGTCATTGTTTCCTTTGATATACAGATGCTCTTTATTTTCATGTAATCTTGTTTGACTATTTTGAGATTATTTCTTGTGCTGTTGGTGTCCTTTCTAGAAAAATTGTTATGCCTGTATCTTGAAGTATTTTAATCTAGAAATTTCAAAGCTTTAGGTCCTTCATTAAGGTTTTAATTGATTTTGAAGTGAGTTTTTACATGAGTGATAGGCTCTGGTCTCTCTTTTTAAAAATTCATTTGTTTGTGTACATGTTCATGCTTGCGTATATGTGTGCGTGTACATACGCCCATTTGGAGGATATCCTTGGGTCTCATTCTCAGAAACTCTTGTTTGCATTTCAGACTGGATCTCTCATTGGCCTGGATCTCACTTATTAGGCTAAAATGTCTGTCCAGTAAGCCCCAGAGATCATCTTGTCTCTACTTCCCCAGTGCTGAGATTATAAGCATGTGCCATTACACAGCATTTTTGCATGCGCTCTGGAGCCAAACTCATGCCCTTGTGCTTTTAGGGTGAATAAATGCTCTCCTGGCTGAGCTGTGTCTTTAGTCTGCTTTCATTCTTCTATGCTTAATATGTTCAGGGTATTTTTGCATATGAGAAAAAAGAATTCTAATTTATTGTTCCAAATAGTAAACTTAATTGTCCCATTATGATATATGAGTATTCATTTTATTCTGTTTAAAACACTATAGTTCTGATATATTAATTTATAGATTGCTTTATTTATTGTGTGTGTGTATGTATCAGAGGACAGTTGTGAGAGTTGGTTCTTTCCTTCTACCGTGTGTGTACTAGGGATTGAATTTAGGTGGTCAGCAAATTCATTTGTGATTATTTCTATGCCATTAGTATATTAGTATCTTAAGATCTTTGGATCTTGGAAGAAATCATATAGTTACTTCTGAGGCAACTTTTTATGTTGACTGACAAAGTGTGTCTTAGCTTGGGCTGCTTTAACAAATGACGACAAGCACTTTATCCACTAAGACATTTCTCCAGTTCTAGTGTATAAAATTTTCTATACATACATATTGCATTTTTTCATCCCGAGGCCAAGAAATGCAAGCATTGTTTTGTTCAGTGCAGTATGATCCCCTACTAAGAAATAATAAAACAATATTGACATATGAAAGTCACAGTTAAGAAACTATGATATATAATTATTTGAATCCAGGCCTCACATATGCTAAACATTAACCCTACCATTTAATAATATATAATATTGTCCCATTGTCAAATGACATTTTACCATATTTATAAAATTCTTGAATTCAGACCTGGCGGTGGTAGTGTACACCTTTAATCCCAGCACTCGGGAAGCAGAGGCAGGCAGATCTCTGTGAGTTCAAGATCAGCCTGGACTACAGAGGGAGTGACAGGACAGGCTCCAAAGCTTCACAGAGAAACCCTGTCTAGAAAAACAAAACAAAACAAAATTCTTGAATTCATACAAAAGTAGAATAATGAAACTAGTGCAAGTGATTGATTCATTATGTTTCATTATAGGAATGCCTTCCCCTGTGATTCATCTTGGGCTCAAACTCAGAAAGGACTCAGAAGAGCAAAAGAATAAAAATGAGGTGATACCCACTCTTAGTGAGGACCTAATATTACAGGTGCATTGATGTTGTTTGAACATATACCTATCAAAAGCAACTGCTATCTGGCAAATTAGTAATTATAAGTTGTTTTTGTTTTTGTCTATTATTGTTTTGGTTCTCTTCCTTTGTTCAGTTATACCTTTTAAAATCAATCATTCAATTTCTATGTTGCATATTTGATGAAGATCATCTGTTTTAGGACATAGAATTTAAAATGTTTCCCTTTTTACTCTTCCAATCTTCTTTTTTCAGTGGAGATAAGGAACTAAAAGGAACAGAAGCTAGACATAGGATGTAATAACTATTATTTTCATTTCTATTTTGTATCAGTTCATTTTAAAGTTTGTGAAGAAAATACTAGTCTGTGTGGTGTAATTTGAGATATACAGCATTAAAGACCCTCTGTTATCTTTGTATGTGAGTATGTATGTAGATAGTTGAAGAGTTATTTGCTTCTTCCTAGTGCAAAACTATTGGGGGACGTAGGGAATGATTTAGTTAGCACTTTGGCTTGATTGAGTCAGTCAGCCTGGGATACCTACCTACAGAGTCTTAAGGAATGAAAGGGAGGGTGCATAATATGAATATGTTTGTTTTCAAGACAGGATCTTACTTTGTAGTACAGACTTTTCTGGGACTTAATATGTAGCTCAGGCTGGCCTTGAATTTGGGAGTCTTCCTGACTCTTTTCTTCTAAAACAAAACCAAACAAACAAAAGAAAACAACAACAACAAAAAAAAAAACCAAGAACAGGTTTATTAGAAAAACTGAACAAAGCAAAGATGTATTGTACAGGCACAGATATGCGGCAGGCTAGGGAATGAGCATTGCATGGGGGGTTTCTGAAGTCTGGGTTTTTAATTAAGGTCTTTTTTCTTGGGGGTCAGAGGGGTTAGCTTTAAACTCCTAAAAGACCTATCTCTTCCACATGCAGGGCAGGAGTTTTCACCTTAGATCGCCAGCCAGGACTATCATGGCACCATTTTGTCCAATAGTACTGTTAATGGGTATTAACAGGCTGAGAGGTTGCTCATTACAGGGAGTTTCTGCTTTCAAAGCTCAGTGAGCCAAGTTCTCACTGCTGGGGAAAATACCTGACCCCAAGTGGCATAACTTCATTTAAGCTACATATGCATGTATACACATACACGGAACATTAATTTGCAAAAGATGGAGACTGTCATATATCATGATTTTTGTGTGTGTTTAAAAAATAGGATTGTATTAATGTTATTGTTATTAATGTTATTGTTAAAATGTTTGTACATTAAGGCCAATGGTGTTATTTTCAGAAAGCTTTATTTATAGATCATAGAAATAGACAGGGGCTTCCAGAGAAATATTTTTTTTTTAATGCTGACAACATATTTAAGGCTATGTTCTTTTTAAACTGAGCAAGGCAAATTTTACTGTGAAATCTTAAACTGGAAAGTTGTATCAGTGAATTTTATCTTTATTGAACAGGACACAATAGCTTTAATTTTTCTGATCTAATATGAGAGTTAACAAAGTCAGCCAATCATTTAATGTACAGAAGTACATTTCTGTCTTAAGGAAGAATAATGAGGACTCAGAATCTGACTAGAATGGTCGCTCAGAATCATAATAGATCAATAAGAGGAGGGGCATGTGGAGTAAAAGTCCTTTCCCTTTCTGGATGTCCCACACAGTTTCACTAGAATATTTGGTCCCCAGCAGATGGCACTATTTTGGAAGCTCATGGAGCCTGTTAGGAAGTAAGGCCTAGTGAGTCAGAGCAGAAGGTTCTTCCAGGCCCTTTGTTTCCTGGTCTACTAAATGTAAGCAGTCTGTATCACAAGCTCATGCCATCCCAGCACCCAGCCGCTGTTACCTACTCCTGCCACAATTCATTACAACTGGACTGTGAACCAAAGAAAATATCTTTCTTTCTTTAAATTGCTTCTGTCAGGTATTTAGTCATAGTAATGAGAAAAATAATTTATTTTATAGAAGTAAGTTAAGGAGAATATATAAACTAAGTAATAACCAGAAGAAAATATAATAGGAAGTAGAGATAAAAGAAAGATTAGTAATTTAGATGTAGTAAAAATTAAAAACTATTGAGCATGAAAGGCTACAAAGAATTATTGCAATGCAACAAAAACAATTCAGTTAGAAAATGAGAAAAGGGTTAGACGTAGTGGTGTAGCCTGTAATAACTCAGACTCAGGACACTGAGACCAGAAGATTGCAAGTTCAAGGACTGCTGGTGCTATAGGGAATTCGGGTCCATCCTGGAAAACTGTCTAAAGGTAAAAGAAATAAAATGAGGGCTGAGGTTATAGCTCAGTAATAGAGTGTTTTGCTAGAATACATGAGGTCCTTGGTTCAGTCCCCAGTACTGTAAAGAAAAAAGGAAGGGGAATAGCATAGAACTTGAATAGTTTACCAAGAAGCTATATAAATAACGAATAAGCATGAAAAAAACTATGCAAACTAAATCTCCTTTGGGAATCATTTCACACTCATTAAGATGACCATTACAGAAAGCAAACAACAGAAAATAAAGGTTAGCAAGGAGGTCCTGAACTTGGAACCTTTGCACTGTGCAAGTATGAATGTAAAATGGTACATTGTATGGTGATTTCCCCCCAAAATTAAGCAATAGGATGCTTCATGATCTAGCAATTCCACCTCTGAATCTATACCTGAAAGAAGAGAAAGTAGGGATCTGAAGAAAGTTTTTATACTCCTGTTCACTGCAGAATTATTCTATACCAGTATTTATTCACAATAGCCAAAAAATGGTGGAAGCATTGCAAGTGTTCATAAATGCTGAGTGGATAAGTAATATGCAGTATATAGTGTAAGGAGTATTGTTTTTTTTTTTCTGCCCGCTGCCTGGTCTTGTCCCGCCACTGCTCCAGCCCCAATTAACTCACCGAGACTCTGTATTTGATATTATGCTGTTGGCCCGGTTACTTGTTTCTTATCGGCTAGCTCTGCCATAATTATTAACCCATTTCTGCTGATCTATGTATTTCTCTTACCCGGGAGCCGGCCGGCATTCTGCTTTCTCCCGACTCTCCATCTTGGCTCCTCCTTCCTACTTCCTATTTCCTCCTTGTCTCCTAGTCCCTCCTATCTTCCTTTCCTATTGGCCAACAGTACTTTATTCATTAACCAGTATGAAAAACATATACAGAATGACATCTCCCATCATCATAGTCAATGGAAGTTACTCAGCCTTAAACAAGAAGAAAATACTGATACATTCTACAACTAGGCTCAGCCTTGTACTGTGTCAAATAAACCATTCACAAAATAACAAATACTGTATGGTTCCTACTCCATGATATTTCTAGAGAAGTCAAATCTGTAGAGACAGAAAGTAGATTGCCATCTGTGAGGGTAGAAAGAAATGGGGGATTTTTGTTTAAAAGACATGGACTTTGAGATCCTGTTCCTTTCCCCTTCTGTGAGGGACCTTGTATGAATCTCATAGGTTCCACCTTGTATGCTAGATCTCCTGAGCATATTGGGAGTGGGAGGGGGCAGTGAGTGGAGAGGGAGTTAGGAGAAAGAGAAGGGGAGGAAGGGAGAATATGTGGGCCAGGAAGATTGAGTCAGGGGACGAATAGATGAGAGCCCCCCCAAACAAAAGAGAGAGAGAGAGAGATACCATAATAGAGGGAGCCATTATAGGTTGGAAGAGAAAACTGACTCTAGAGAAATATCCAGAGACCTACAAGGATGACCCCAACTAACAATCTGAGCAACAGTGGAAAGGCTACCGTAAATGCCCTTCCCTGATAATGAGATTGATGACTAACTTACCCACCATCATAGAGCCCTCATCTAGTAGCTGATGGAAACAGAAGCAGATACCCACAGCTAAACACTGAGCCGAACTCCTGAAATCCAGTTGCAGAGAGGGAGGAGTGATAAGAAAAGGGATCAAGACCAGGCTACAGAAACAGCTGACCTGAACAGGGGAGCTCATGGACCCCAAGACTGATAGCTGGGAAACCAGCATTGTATGGACTCAGACCCCCTGAACATGGGTCTCAGTTAGAAGGCCTGGGCAGTCTAAGGCACCTCTGACAGTGGAACCAGGATGTATCTCTGGTGCACAAAAGGACTTTGGGAGCACATTCCCCGTGGAGGGATATTCCCTTAACCTAGAGGCTAGACCTTACTCCAAATGACTTGACAGATTTTGATAATCCCTCCCCTCCTATGGAGTGGGGGGAGCATGGGAGGGAGGGAGAGGGAACTGGGATGGATATGTAAAATAAGGAAAAAAAATATATATGGACTTTGAGCTGAGGAGTTTCAGATGAGAAAGTTCTGGAAATTCATGGTAGTAATAGTTGTGCAAAATGTAAGTTACTTAATTCTCCAGAACTATGCACTTAAAAATAGTTAAGATGGCACATTATGTATATTTTTCCACAATTAACAAAAAAAAGAAGAAAGAAAGAAAGAAAGAAAGAAAAGGAAAAGAAAAAAACTCAAAAGGCCTAAACTTTATGCAAAGAACTCCAGGCAAATGAGAAATGCTGAGAGTGGGCGAGATAGGACAGCACACCAGTTATTCAATACCAAATGGTGGCATTTTACAGACTGAGCATGCTATTTGTGCCTTTAGGAACAACAGTTGATGAAAAAGAGACCACCAATTTAAAAGAACAAAGGAGGGTATAAGGGAGAGTTTAAAGGGAGGAAAAATAAGGGGAAATGATGTAATTGTATTTTAATCTCAAAAACATTTAAAAAGCTAAGAAACACTAATGTAAGAATTTTCTGGAGTGTTAAGCCGTTTTGTTTGTTTCATTATATTATCATTCCTTAGTTTGTAAAAACAAAAAACAAAAAAAACCTACTCTTTTTTTCCCCCCTTAGGATTCTCAAGATGAAGCAATACAAAATCAAGTTCTGTTACAGTTAAGTATAATGACTTGTGGCTTGATTATATTATAGGGTGTTTATTTTGTTACTGTTTTCTCAGTTAAGATGAGTCTTTGTTTTTATAAAACTTAAAATTAGGTATTCTGGAATGTTAGTGGGGTAAATATAGATTGTTTTATAAACATTTAAGGTAAATTTAATTTCTTTTGAAAACTTGAATTAGATTAAAGTAACTTTTTCTGTCTGCTAATCTTATTTAAACAGTGAATGTATAGCATTGTATAAAGGAAGGGTTTGTACAGTCTTTGGAGTAATGAAACTTTATATTCCCCTAGTTCTTAAAAAAACAGTGGTTCTCAAAATACAGCTTGTAGACTCCTGTGTAGTTCCTGAGATTCTTTTAGGAATCCTGGAAAATTAATAACACTAACAGTATTTGCCTCTTTCCATGGGGTTTACATTTGCACCAACAGTGCTTAGCAATAAGTAAAATGCTTAATGGCCTTTGCAGGAACCAAGGCAGCAAACTGCCATGTGCTAATTGTAAATAGCAAATGATGGTAACTTTGCTTAAAGAATGTATTTAATGGATGTAGGTGTGAAAGGAGGGCCAGGGAGTTGGGGAGGCATCTATTCTGGGTACAGACCTAGTGTGGCTGCTTTGAGGCAACCAACATTCTTTCCTACATCCTTTTTCCATTCTTGCTAATCCTTGTCTCTCCAGAGGCCATGGGATTTGGTGTACATGAAATTTATATCAATGTGATAGCAGGAGTTTTATGGACATTGCTTGATTAAGATAGCAAGCCTGGACCAGTCAGAAAAACAGGCCCTGCCTCCAACTCTGGCAGACATTTGCTGCTCAGGTGCAGGCCACACAAGTCAGAGATCCTCTGCTACACCAAAGGCCAAGCAAGCCTCCAGAAGGCCAGCCCCCAACTTGGACTGAGACTCCCTACTTGATCAGGTCATGCCAGCCACCAGAAATGCAGGCCATAAAGACCAGAAGACCAAAGAGGAAAGAGAAACCAAGGAACAAAACACCTATCTAAGAAAGACAAACTCAGAAATCAGCACCTAAATCTATAATACACAATACACAATACATAAACCACAAATGCAGATGTCTAAACACCTGTGTAAGAATACAGTCAACTACAGCCAGGGCAACATGTCACCACCAGAGTCAAGCTATTCTGTGACAGTAAGACCTGAATATTCCAATGCAACTGAAGCACAAGAAAACAGCCTTAAAAACAACTTTATGAAGATGATAGAAATCCATAAAGAGGGAATGAAAAAAATCCCTTAAAGTAATCAAGGAAAAGACAAACAAAATTTGGAGGAATCAATAAATCCCTTAAAGAGTGACAAGAATGGGAAGAAAAAAATAAACAGGTGAAGGAAACTGTTCAAACCTGAAAATCAAAATAGGGATTTTCTTTTCATTTCCTCTTTAAGGATTTCTATCAACTTTATAATTGAAGGAATTTTGAAAATGGAAAATCTGGGTAAGTGGACAGGAGCTGTAGGTACAAGCACCACCAACAGAATACAAGAGATGGAAGACAAAATCTCAGGCATTGGAGATACAATTGAAGAAATAGATTCATAGGTCAAAGAAAATGTTAAGTCTAAAATATTCCTAACACAAAACATCCAAGGAATCTGAAAAGACTAATGTAAGAACAATAGGAATGGAAAAAGTGTCCTAGCTCAAACAAACAAACAAACAAAAACAGAAAATATATTTAATAAAATAATAGAAGAAAACTTTTCTAACCTAAAAAATGTACATGCCTATAAATTACAAGAAGCTTATAGAACACCAAGTAGCTTGGATCAGAAAAGTAAGTCCATGCACCACATAATAATCAAAACACTAAAGAAGAAGAACAAAGAAAGTATATTAAAAGTTGCAAGATATAAAGGCAGACCTGGTAGAATTATACCCAATGTCTCAATGGAGACTGTAAGATCCAGAAGAACTAGACAGATGTCTTGCATACACTTTTATTTATGTGGTGGATTGCATTGATAGATTTTCATATGTTGAACCATCCCTGAATCTCTGGGATGAAGCCTACTTAATCATGGTGGATGACTTTTTGTTTTCTTTTTTGATCTTGGATCCAATTTGTCAGTTTTTTATTGAGTATTTTTGCATCAGTGTTTATGAGAAAAATTGGTCTACTCTTTCTTTGTTGCATCTTTGTGTGGATTGGGTAGCTATAGCCTTAAAAAAGTGTTTGACAATGTTCCTTCTGTTTCTATTGTGTGGAACAACTTGAGGAGTATTGATATTAGCTATTCTTTGAAATTCTGGTAGAATTCTTCACTGAAACTGGCTCTGGGCTTTTTTTGGTTGGAAACTTTTGATGACTGCTTCTATTTCCTTGGGGGCTATAGATCTATTTAAATTGTTTATCTGGTCTTGATTTAATTTTGGTATGTAGAACCTATCCAGAAAATTGTCCATTTCTTTTAAATGTTCCAATTTTGTGGAGTACATGGTTTTGAAGTATGACCTAATGATTCTCTGGATTTCCTTAATGTCTGTTGTTATGCCCCCCTTTTGATTTTTGATTTTGTTAATTTGGATATTCTCTCTGTGTCTTTTGGTTAATCTGGATAAGGGTTTTTCTATCTTTCTCAAAGAACCAACTCTTTGCTTCATTGATTCTTTGTATTGTTCTCTTTGCTTCCTTTTCTATTTTTATTGATTTCAGCCTTCAGTTTGGTTATTTCCTGCCATCTCCTCTTGGGAGAGTTTGTTTCTTTTTGTTCTAGAGCTTTCACGTGTGCTGTTAAGTCTCTAGTGTGAGATTTCTCTTCACTCTTTATGTAGGCATTTAGTGCTATGAACTTTCCTCTTTCATAGTGTCCCATAAGTTTGAGTATGTTCTTTCATTTTCGTTGAATTCTAGGAAGTCTTTATTTCTTCCTTGACCCAGTGATGATTCAGTTGATCATTGTTCAATTTCCATGAGTTTGTAGGCTTTCTGCAAGTAGTGTTGTTGAATAATAACTTTAAGCCATGATTTGATAAGATATAGGGGGTTATTTCAACTTTTTTTCTTTCTTTCCCTTTTTTTTGGTGGGGGGTTATATGTTGAGACATTCTTTGTAACTGAGTATGTGGTTGATTTTAGAGAAGGTTCCATGGGGTGAGGAGAAGGTATATTCTTTTGCATTCGTATGGAATGTCCCATAGATGTCTGTCAAGTCATTTGAGTTATAACATCTGTTAGTTCTTTTATTTCTAACAAGTTTCAGTCTGGGAGACCTGTCCAGTGGTGAGAGTGGATTGTTGAAGTCTCCCACAATTAATTTGTGGGAGGTTTGATGTTGGTTTAAGCTTTAGTAATGTTTCTTTTACAAATGTGGGTGCCTTTATATTTGTGGCATCGATGTTTAGAATTGAAACTTCATTTTGATGGATTTCTCATGATGTTCTCTGTCTCTTTTGATTAACTTTAGTTTGAAGTCTATTTTGTTAGATATTAGGATCGCTACATCAGCTTGTTTCTTAGGTCCATTTAATTGGAAAATCTTTCCCAACCCTTTTTTGAGGTAATGTGTCTTTTAGATTGAGGTGTGTTTCTTGTATGCAGCAGATGGATGGGCCCTGTTTTTATATCCATTCTGTTAGCCTGTGTTTTTTTTTAATAGGTGAATTGAGTTCACTGATATTAAGAGATATTAATGGCCACTGATTGTTAATTCCTGTTATATTTAGTCTCAGTGATGGTAGTGGTAGTAGTGTCTTTCTTTTCCTCAGGGTTTGCTGATATGAGGTTGTCTCTTGCTTCTGCTTCTGATTTCATAGATGCAGTGAAGTTCCTTGGATTGGAGTTGTCCTTCTAGAACTTTCTATAGGGCTGGATTTGTGGGTAGATATTGTCTGGTTTTGTCACGGAATATCTTGTTTTCTCTGCCTATGGTGATTGAAATCTTTGCTGGATATAGCAGTCTGAGCTGGCATCCATGGTTTCTTGGTGTCTGCAGAATGTCTGTTCAGGGCCTTCTGGCTTTCATTGTTTCCATTGAGAAGTCAGATGTAATTCTGGGACACCATGAAAAGACTGAACTTAAGAATAATAGGGATAGAAGAAGGAAAAGAAGAACGAGTTCAGAGGCACATAAAATATATTCAACAAAATCGAAGAAAACTTTCCCACATTTGGGTCCTCAAATTACGCAACAAGTGCTTTAACTGTTGAGCCTCTGCCTGCCAAGCCCAAGCACAGCTCTTCTTATTCATTAAACATTTTAGATAATATAGTTTTCTTATTTTAATTTTTTATTTAATTTATTATTTTACATGTTGATCCCAGTTCCCCCTCCCTCCCTTCCTCTCTCTTACCCTCTCAGCCCCCTCACATGCACCCTGACCACCCTCCCCTCCCATCTCCCCACCCCAATTCCACTTGTAGGGGAATGCCATCCAGTTGGGGTCATGTAGATCTGACAGGTCATTTGAAGTAAGGACTAGCACTTCTCTCCTGTCTCTAGGTTAAGGCAGTATCCCTTCATGGGGGATGTGTCCGCAAGGTCCTTTTGTACACCAGGAATACATCCTGGTTCCACAGTCTGAGGTCCCTTAGACTGCTCAGTCCTTCTGGCTGAGACCCACATTCAGGGGGCCTGAGTCAGTCCCATGCTGGATTCCCAGCTATTAGTCTGGGGGCCCGTTAGCTCCACTTTGTTCAGGTCAGCTGTCTCTGTGTGTTTCTGCAGCCTGGTCTTGTCCTCTCCCCCTGCATCTGGATTCTAGTTCTACTCAGTGTTTAGGTATGGGTGTTTGCTTCTGTTTCCAACAGGTAATAGAGATAATCTAGTTTTTATTTAAATATTCTAATACATTACTGAATTATTACTGTCATTTAAAATTTAACAAATACACTTTAAAGTTTCTATATTTAAACATAAATCTATATAAGCCACATAAACAAAAGTTCTTTGTGATTCTCAAGAATGTATGAGTCCAAATATCCAAAATTTAAAGATTATTGTAATACTCATTTTATCCAAATAGTAATATAGCTTCATTTGTAGAAATGAAAAAGAAAAGGCTAAGAAAGACTATACCATATAACCTAGTGCTTAGAGAACCACTGTTAACATTTTGGAACATCTTATTGTATGTTGTATGTATATGTTTTTATTAAATTTTCCATAGAGATGGGATCATTTTATGGATGTGTTTTTAAATTTCAATAAACAATTGATTTTTTAGCACAACTTTTTTAAATGTCACAGATAAAATGGTGTGTCTTTGCTTTTGTTTAAAAAAAAAGGCACACAAAGTTATTTGCCATCACTATGTGGTGGTGGCACATGCCTTTAATCCTAGCACTCGGGAAGCAGAGGCAGGCACATCTCTGTGAGTTCAAGGCCAGCCTTGTCAAGGACATGCTCCAAAGCTACACAGAGAAACCCTGTCTGGAAAAACAAAACCAAAACAAACAAACAAAAAATTATTTGCCATCTTAATGCGGTTAAAGTGCTTTTAATTATGTACCATTTTATTGTATAACATTATATTTTGTTGAATAATTCATTAGATTGGACATTTATTTGTAGTCTTGCTTAACAAAACTAGTTTTAATATTTAGGAGAGACTTTTGTGTATTCAAAATGTGTCTTAACACTCTTAATACAATTCTTGTAATTAAAGATGGAAGTTCTTTTGATTCAAACCATGGTTTTATTTTGTTTTCAACAAGCTTATTCTTCTCAAATCGGACATTCTTTCCTATTGGCTATCATTTTGCTTGAAGCGCTTAATCTACATTTTCAACATAACTTCTATTATTCACTTTTGGTTTGAATAGGAAAAAATGCTGTATTATTTTTGCTTAGGATTTAAATAACCATGCCTACTACATTAAAAACTATTATTAAAACACCTGAAATAAGGATTTTTTATTTTAAATAGGCAGATGTCTTTTATTTATGTAGTAAATTACTCTGAAATAAAATAGTTAGCTGATTGCCCTTTTTCAGTGAGCTTTTAATACCCAGAAGTAGAGGATCAAAATTGCAGATTTGACAGGACCTTTATTTTGTTTTAATCCTCTTTGTTTCAATAATTTCTGCTCCCCATCTTTAAACTCACAGTGAAATATAAAAGTAAAAAATCTGAGAAATTTCTTACATAACTCCTACTTATATCTAAACTATATTGCCAAACAGAATATTTGAAGGTAGCCAAGTCATTTTCTTTAACCTTGCCACCCTTATTTGATAGACAGTCATCTTTCAGGTCACTTTCAAACCTAAATGCAGTTAAGTTTTTATATCTCTGAATTTATCCATTATTCTTTCTAACACTCTCCAATTTTGGATTCACTTTAACAAACTGATAAAATTGCAAACATAATATAATGGTGTAACCACTTAATTTTTCCATTTAAAAGTCTGTTTTTATTAATTAGTTAATTTATGTTTTAGAACGAGAAAAGAATTCCCAGCATCCTCTGTGTCTCCTCACCCCGAAGTGTCATGGAGCCATCGAAAGACTGGAGGTATGCTTCCTGAGCATCAGTGCATAGAGAGTCTTTAGGAGTAGAAGACCTTGTTTGTCATGAGCATCAGTGCATCAGAGAGTCTTTAAGAGTAGAAGGCCTTATTTGATACAGGTTGATTTACAACAAAGCCAGTGTAGCATGCATTTTAAGTATGAAATTAAGTTGTTGCTGACCTTTAATTGTGAATACTGCCCATCAGAGAAAGGGCAGTTGCAGCCAGTATCTATTGTTACAAATGTCTACTTTTCACTTCTGATTTTGAAGGGTTATATTTGAGAACAATAATTATTTAGTCTTTTTGTGGCCATATTTCATTACTTTTCCCATTCAATGTTGATGTATATTGCCTAGTGACTTCCTCAGAGTGGATATTTTATCTACTGTTTCACAGTGGAGTAAATACGCATAGTGGTTAGTGACACCTTATGGTATAAGGAATGGGTACAAGGATATGATAGAAAAAAAACTGTTAAACTTTATATTACTTTGTTTTTGCTATTACCTACCCATACATGTATTTCTAGTACCTAGTTTTTAATCCATGTTATTTTTCATTTTTTTCTAATAAACATTTATTGAATGATGTATGAATGCTGTGGATGTCTGAATGCTAAATACAGGATTACTGATCTGTCTTGAAGCATGAAGATAACAAGACACATCTGAAACGTACATTGATGAAAAGCAAGGAGGACCTTTTCAGAATGTCTGTGAACAGTGCTGAAGAACAAAAGCTTAATCTGTTCTTGCTTCTACTAGCCAAGCTGTGATAATTTAAATACAGGGGGGAAACCCAATGATTTTTAGTGCATGGATGTATATTTTCTAAAAAAGTGCATACTAAGACTCAAAAATACTAAATGTACAAATGTTTGTCTCAAGACAAAAGTGACTCTAATAAGAGTTCCTGTGACTTGAAAGTAAGGACCTGTTAATACATGTGGAGTTTTTCTTTTTCATCTTTTACTGCTTAGGGATTGAATCCAAAGCCATATACACACTAGCCAGGCATTGAACTACATTGTAACCACTTTTATTTCTTCATTAAATATATGTTTATAAAGTATAATTTATTTTTCTTTGTCACTGTAAATAGAAAAATAAGATGGCTGAGTAAGTCAGGTTGTCTTGAAGAAAATGTGATTATATAAGAAAGGGAACGAGCTCTTACATAGCACCAGTGGTGACACATAAAATTAATATAAGAAATGAAACCCAACCATGTCCCAAGGTAACAGACAACCAGGAGCCAATCAAGGAGACTTTGCCACAGTCTAGATTGCACTACTATAGGAAGTAAAAACTTTAAATGAGTCTGCTTTGTCACTATCGTATGCTAATAGAATGTATAAGTTTGCACTAATATTAACTGGTCATTACATAATAACAAGAGAAGCGTTTCTAACACTGACCAAATAAAACTTAAAGATTCTGAGACAAAATGTTAAGTTACATAAAAAGAAATCCTTATGAAGTTCAAACTGTTGTAAGTCAAACTAGAAAATGGATTATTCAGCCAGGTGGTGGTGGCACAAGCCTTTAATCCCAGCACTCAAGAGGCAGAGGTAGGTGGATTTCTGTGAGTTCAAGGCCAGCCTGGTCTACAAAGCTACACAGAGAAACCCTGTCATGAAAAAAAAAATGGGTTATTCAGGTTTAAATCCTCTTGATACCTAGAGAAAGACTCAAATACTGTTTGAAGCATCAGTGAGTTGTGAATTCTACTCAATTATATCAGATTACTTGTGCTTGGTTGATAAAATGAAAGTAGAGGACAGAAGGGATGTGGAGTAGTAGGAAAAAAAGCATCCTTTTCTTGATCTTTCCTCAACCAACTTGGTGTGAATTGCTTTGATCCAGCTGCTCTTAGAGGAGTTAGGCTGAGAACAGATAATAGAGTTGAATAGAATCTAGATGATTCCCCTGATTCTACATCTAACTCCAGATAGCTTGAATTCATTTCAGCTCGATTACCTGTCCAGAGATGACGATAAACTCTTCTTGAGTAGTAAAAGTACTTAAAATAATGCAACAGAAATAGGTGTTTCTAGCTAAACTAATTTTAAGTAGTTACAGTTCTTTTTTAATTCACATTGTTACAGCTCTAATTGGTGGTTAAACCTGAGAGAACAGAGTCTAAAAATGAGGTAGACTAAAGTCTCATGTAATAGCCAACTTTATTCAGAGCATCAGGCAGTTTATATCCTGAGGGTTAAGAGAGGTCACATGAAATAAGCTCTCATGAATTCAAGCTGTATACAGTCACAAAGAGAAGCTGCATGTGGCAAAAACATGTTTATCCATAGAGGCATATAAACAGATAATAGCCAATTGTAAAGCGTAATTCATCTGAAGTAAACTCACTCCTATCTACTACTACTCAGCAGGGCACGAAAGCGTAGTCCAAGAACAATTCTGTATTTTTGAAGAAACTGAGGTCACAAGACTATTGCCTTGTTTTCTCCCAAGCATTCAGAATTCTTCTTACATTAATTCATTCTTGGACTGTGTCCTGATATTACATATTTTTTTCTTTTTCTCACTTTTAAAATTTTATTAAAATTTTTTAAATTTTATTTTTTTAAGAAATGAAAGCCAAGTGTGTGATGTAATCCTGGTTAGTGTTGGAATTATGGACTTCTGACCCCTCTCCTGAATACTGGAATATAGGCTGGCATTGCCACTCCCAGTTTAAGGGGTAACAGGGTTAGAACCCAGGACAAGCATTCTACCAGTCGAGCTACATATCCAGCCCAAGAAATGAAGAATTTTATTATTTTCTAAATAAGTATATAGCAATAAATACATTTATAAAATGTTGCTATGTCAAATTATTTAAGAAAGCTCAAGTCTTGTTATAATAAAATGCTGATTGAGAAGGGCTTACTTTGTGGCTTAATAATGCTCTAATAAATACATATTACTCTCTTCTAGGTCCTGAAGTTGAAACTTGTGAAAATTTGCCACACCCAGGAAAGGTTGGTTTATGTAGCCAAGATTGGCTATGTAGATTGTGGATTTAGATTTTTAAAATCATATAAATTGAAGTTTCAAGCTCATTTAGACTCTCTGCTAGGCAGTAATCTGACTAAATCATGTCATTAGCTAGAAACCTATTTTTTAAAAATATTTTTTGAAATTATAGTTAACATTTTTTTCCTTTTTGTCCCTCCAACCTCTCCCATGCACTCCATTTTCTCTCAAATTCATGGCCTTTTTTTTTTTTTAAATGTTTTTATGGTGTGTGTGTGGGTGTGTGTGTGTGTGTGTGTGTGTGTGTGTAGGCCTGTAATTCCAACACTCAGAAGGGTCAGAAGTTCCAAGTTCTAAGTCCCTTCCTTGTTAACTTGTTCAGTGGTGTCATCATTGTTTAGATCTTCTTGATGAAAATTCTCTGACATTTCTGGAAACACAGTCTCACAGAAAACTTCCTGTTTCTCTGGGTTTTATAATCTTTCTGTCCTCTCTTCTGCAGTGATGCATGAGCCTTAAGTGCAGGAGTTGTCTTGTAGATGTATTGGTTGGTACATACAATCTCTGTTCACTGCAATTTGATCAGTTGTGTTTTTCTGTAACTTTCTCCTGTTGCAAAAAGAGATTTCTTTGATGAGGGATGAGAATTACATGTATAAATGTAAATATTTAGAATGTAGTTAGGAATTATGCTGTTTTAGTAAAGTGGCAATTGTAGGTTCTCATCTAAGATCCATGACCTCACTAGCCCTGGATAGTTAGCTATGTTTCCAGTACCAGGCATGGTTTCCCTCTTGTTGAGTGAGTCTTATGTCCATTAGAGAGCTGTTGGTTACTGCCAAGGTGTATGTGCCACTATGGCATCCTTAGGATTATTGTGCGATGCTGGTCACTGTTATGGTTCATAGGTTAGATTATTGGTTCCTTTCCTGCTTTGTAATTTTGCATGATGCCTTCTGGTACCATGAAAGGAATTCCTCAGGAAGTAAAATTTTGTCTAAAAATCTGTTAATGTATTTATTCTGTCTTATCTTTAATAATTCTAGTAATTTTCTGATCTGTGTTCCTTACCCACTGCTGCAAGACTTATTCTTTGTTTAGAGAAATTTACAACTTGTTGTTACATATGCCTAAATGATGGAACATACTCCTTTTTGGTGTTTTTAATGTCAACCTTATTTCTTTCATATTTCAAGCCTGCTTTCTCATCATCTTGTTGCTAATGTTTACCAAGGGCCTGCGTTGTCTTTGCTTTCTGCTTGGTGCTGTGAACTGGCTCTGCCCTGCTTTCTCATCATCTTGTTGCTAATGTTTACCAAGGGCCTGCGTTGTCTTTGCTTTCTGCTTGGTGCTGTGAACTGGCTCTGCCCACAGTGGACTCACACTCTTCTTCAGGATATCAAGTAGTTATTGTTCTTCCCAGGCCCACCCTATCTCACCTGACTATATCATTTCAGCCATACCTTCTACATATGCAGTTACCAAACTTTTCTGCCGAAGTTAGGAGCCAGAAGGCAGGACAGTGGTCATAAAATCTGGATTGGATGTGACTTCAAGAGTAACTCTTTTTGACATCTATAATGTATGGACAGATGTTTCAAAGAGTTGCTGTGAGGATGAGGAGCAACAATGACTTCTGCCTGGCACCTAGTTGTGTCTGAATAGATGCTGTTGTCCTTTCCTTTCTTGATAAGTCATTTATTTATGCTTCAACTTTTTCCTTGTCTTTGGATCTGTGTCAGGTGCTTCTCCTCTGATATTTATTTTTCACTAGCTATATCAATATTTCCTAATCATCTGAAAAAATTAATAAAACCATTGGAGAGCATTGTGCCAGATATTTACATGTTTAGAAAAAAATTGTAGGAAAGCAACTCGTTTAATTTTTGTCTCACCAAAACATTTTCAGCAAAATCAGTAAACTATATTGCCTCCCCTTCCCTGAAGGTTAGTGGCTATTGCTTGGTACACCTTCATGTCTGGAATTTTAGAAACATAAAGGGACGTAGCAGGAAACCCTTGAGATGTAACTCAAATAATGAGTAAGACACGATTCTTTGAATTTTTCTAAATTTTCTTACAAGAAAATTATAGTTAGCATAAAGATAAAGGCATTTTCTTAGGCTCTACATGATATAGGCAGGGGATAAATGGACAGAATATCTTCATTTTTTACTTCTTTTATTCAACTTAGAACAAATTGTTAGTAGGCTAAGGAGCTGATAATGCATCCTTCTATAGAGGTAGTGAACTTGTGGGGAACAACCAAAGTGATTAAAAACTATACATTTCAGTACCTATAAAGTACATTGTTTTCCTGAGCAGCACAGCAACTAATCTGGATAGCAGCTTCAAGAGGCATTGGAAACTTTGTAAGAACAAGCACAACCTGTTAGGGTGTTGACTTTGAAAATAACACACTGGGAAAGTTGTTTTATATTTTTCTATTTAAAACAGCAAAAATCTAAAGTTATTACAGTCAGGCCTCATAAAATTTCACAGTATTGTTCCTTCATTTCTCCTTTGAAAATAACACACTGGGAAAGTTGTTTTATATTTTTCTATTTAAAACAGCAAAAATCTAAAGTTATTACAGTCAGGCCTCATAAAATTTCACAGTATTGTTCCTTCATTTCTCCTATTTCCCCTTCTGATTTCCTGTTCTTTTTATCTTATTTTATATTTGAATATTAATTCAGAAAGTAAACTGATAACAATTTTATAATTTTTGTGATTGATAGAAATATTTGGCAAGAAAGAATTTTGTATCATTGCTTAAACTGTGAATTATTTACATCATTTGCTAATTTAACTAACCAGGGAAACTGTCTCATTTGTTGGAACAGATAATTAAAGCTACGTTAAAAAGATAATTTGTCATCTGTGATCCAGCCAGTGTCACTCTTGGTCCATGTAACCACTCTTGGTTAAATGTTTAACCATGTATTAAGGAGTTAATGATTTCATATAGGAAAGTAGTAAGGAATATTCTTTTTATTTATGGATGAAGTAGACAATCAGTAAAAATAAATTACTAACAAAATGGATTACGAAACTAATTTTTAATTTTAAATGTTGCTTTGTGTTTTCTGTAATACACAGGAACTAAGTCAAAACACAGATTCCCCTGAAATTAGTCTTCTCTTGGGTACTTCACTTATGGCATCTGATTTGGCTACACTAAAGGAGAAATCATTAACAGAGCCAGTGAAGACCTTAGCTGTACCAAATACATTTTCTGATCCTGGAAAGGAAGTATCACTGATCATAACTTCTAAAGAAACCAAAGATGAAGAAAGCTCTCTTGAAACATTTGTGTCTGCTTTAGAAAGGTTACTAGAATCACCAGAAGGCACCCAAGAAGAAACAAATGACTTCAATCTTCAAGAGTTAATGAACCCATTGAGCAACTCCTTGAGTTCTGTATCAGTCCCTTTGAGTGCCTTGCCAACACATTATAGAGATGTATTAGAAAACATGAAGGACAGTGATGTATTACCTGCTGAGTTGCTGGCAACCATCAACACTTTACCAGGTGCTGATGAAAGACCTGGACCTGTAGGACCCAACTGTCAAGGACAAGAGAAAAGCAGCAGTGTTAGTGATGGAAATGGATGTTTAGAAATACAGCCTACCATGTCTCAGATAGACGAAGACTGCACACAAATAGCACAGGTGAATTAAGTCTCTTTCCTACCCTACCATTTAAACAGTTGAGGTTATCCAGGTTGCAGAACAACCATTTGTCAGTAGGACAAGTGCATGTGCACGGTATAAATATCCGAGTCTAAGTTTTGTAGTGACCTATAACAATTCTTCATTGTGTTAAGTTCAAATTATCTCACCAAATACATCTGGAAGATACTTTCACATATAGATTGTTCCATTTAGAAGTACTGGGTAGAGGTTACAATGGATCAAGTTAAAATTGTTTCCTGCCCAACATACATAAAAAAGCATGTCATTTGTTTTTTAGTATATAGGAAAGAATTCTTACCAGAAATTTCTCCTTTATTTCGAATATTACTATATTAACCTGAGTTCAGGGTAGAGACAGAACACTGTAGTAGGATCAGAGTAATTTTGGCTACTAACAGTGTGGTGAGGGAATTAAGCCCTCTTTAAGCCCTATTTGCCTTTAGTATATGAGTTATGTGCTGGACATAACTTGTGGTTTTAGAATTCCCACATTATGCCCAGAGTCCCTACAGATGCGTAACAGGAGCCAAGTTCCCTTTTCATGTTAAGAGTTTGAATTCTCATTATAAAATTAAAAGTAGGTGTGGTGGTATATAGTTGCAATACCAGTACTGGAGAGACTGAAGCAGCAGGGCCAGATGTTGAGTTCAAGGCTAGCATGTGGCCATAGCAACACCCTGTCTCCAGTCAACATAAACCATATGAACATAGCAGGCATTACAAGATTATATAACAGTATGGTAACAAAAGTCCCCCAAAGATCCACTCTCCAAACATTGTTAACAATTTAGTGCAGCTTCAATCACGTCTATTCCTTGTAAATTTATTTCATTCAAATGAGACTATATAATACAGGATGCTTTGCAGCTTATTTTTTTAAAATATAATATATGTTGCTTATCTTTTCAGTGTCAGGAAACCTAGCACTTTTAAATTTTTTAGGTTTCTAAATGATGTATAAATGTATTATTTAAACATTATAATTCAATCAACTCATAATAATGGAAACTTAGATTCCCTTTTTATTTCTTCTTAGCCAATAACAAAATATTTCATGTATATCCACGGGAAGATTTAGAGAAAGCATGAGTTTATGTTGCAGCATACAAACCTGGGGTAATACTGCTGTAGCCTGGCTGGCAACCTTCAGATAGACATTATAGGACTAAGAGAAGAAAATAGGCCAGACACTTTTAATCCCAGCACTCTGGAGACAGAGGCAGGTAGATCTCTGTGAGGCCAGCCTGGTCTACAGAGCAAGTTCCAGGACAGCCTGGGCTACACTGAAGAGACCCTGTCTAAAAAAAAAGAAAAATCAGAAAAAGACAGATTAATCATGGAGTTTTAAAGATGATTAAACATTTCAGTGTTCTAGCATAAGAAAAAGACTGAGTAAAATGTAGAAAATATAACTAATACTGGTAAAGTAAACACAGTTTAGTAAGTCTTCAAGTTTAAGGAAAGAAATGCTTTAAACAGTAGAAAGGAAATTCACTTAGAATGAATCAAGTTCAATACTCTTACTCAGCTGTGATTAAAATATCGAAAATAAAAAAAAATATTTTTTCAATATTTTCTTTTGAGAAACTTTGTATATATAAATGAGCTTAAGAAGTTTTAGGTGGTCCATGTAAAATGTAAATGTCTTCATAGAAGTTAGACCTGTAGTAGATGCTCAAGGAGAAATGAGAAGAATTCATGACAGACTCTTGACCTTTGAGAGCACAGAAGTTAGGTAACACCTTTTCTCTATCTGCCATTGTTTCTGTCAGTGGAGTGCTTGACTGCATAGACCATCAGTCTGCTGTTGCTATTCTTTGTCATGCTCTTATGTGGGGTTCTTATTCTAAATAACTTATTTTCTGCCAAATCAATGCATCAAAAGTGATCTTATATTTTCCTGTGAATTTTAAAGTTGACTATTGATGAAAATAATTTTAAAGTCTCTCCAGTTTTCTCTATGAAGTCCAGGCTGGCCTCAAACTCACAGTTCTGCCTTGGTTTTCCAAGGGCTAGGATTATAGATACGTGTCACCAAGATTAGCTGCTTGTGTTTTTCATTAGCTTAAAATCTATGTTGTCCTCTTTAAAATAAAATTATAGATTTTTCCATCATGTTAGTATATGCATATGAATTGGTATACTTTCATCTTGAAGACGTTTAGTTTTATCAGAGAAAATAAATTTTTTTTGTTTTAATGTTGTAATTATGGATATATGTGTATCTTTATAGACTATAGAAGATCCAAAACCATATAGGTTGCAAATAATGACTCATGAAGATGGCACCTCTTATGAACAACTAAACAATAAAGGAAATTCAGAACCCGTGGAAAATACCTCTGTACAGGAAACACCACATGTACTAAGAAGATCATCTAGGCTGAAAAAACTGAAAGCAAGCAGAGATGTGACACATACAGATGTCATGTTGAAGATGCCAGAAAAGATTTTATCAAAACCACTTAGTTATGAGGATCGAATACATAGCACATTTGCAACTAAGAATTTCAGGTATACTATTAAATTGTATCTTTCTCACCAGATATACTGCAAATCCAATTGGATGCCAGAAGATGTTAGAAGCAGTGTTCATATACCCCTAAGACAAAAGCATTGTTGTGTTGCTGTTTTTAATTTTGCTATTTTTGACCAGTGCCCCACTATATAACAAGTTCCCTTTACCCATAACTTCTGTGCATAGAATCTGCCTCCTTTCCCATACAAGGAGAATAGAGTGGATAGTGACATGTCAGTTTGGGGAGTGAAGGGCAGGAGCCTCAGCATCCTCGTATTCGTAGGTAACTACATCTAAAGTAACTAAAAGTCTGGCATGGGCTTGGCTCTTACAGGGTTATCTATAGCTCACTTGGACCCCACCCCACGTTTAAGTTGCTTTGTCAGTTGAGAGTAACTCAGTAACTATCTTTGGGTTTTCAGTATTTTGTTAAAATTTCATGTGGTTCTCCATGAATCATGTAAAAAATTGTGATTATTTAATAAGTCCATTTTTCAAAAGAATGCAGGATTCTGTTTTAATGACTGACAGTAAAAGGAAGAATATGCATTTGTCCAGATTCAAGAGTGAACAGATACAGAAAAATGAACAACTTACAATAAAAAATGGTGAGACATATTTTGAATATTTCTTCATTTCTTTTAGTAACTTATAGAAACAGAACTGAAGTAGAACAATTTATACTGTGATCTCAGTTTTGTTGATGAGTTAACAATTTCAGTCAGGGTAAGACTTTTCTCTTTAGCTAGTTAGTAGCATAAGTGGGATTTGAATTTAAATGTCTGCTAGGATAGTATCACTTTCTATACTTTTCACTATAGAGAGCTGCTGGAGGGTACTTTCACATTTGAGTGAGTGATTAACACAGCAAAAGGCTGACAGTGCATGCCACAATGAGGAGTAGAGAAAAGGAGAGTGCAGATTAAAAGTTCTATTGCAATAAAATAAAGTAGAAAACTGGTTAAAAGTGATAGTGGACTTGACACAATTGATATGGGCTATAGATTGTATCTGAGTTTTCTGAAATTGAAAATAATATTTTTGATTGTATAAGAGAATGTTTATGTTCTTAGAAAAAACATGTTAAGTATTAGTTATAAAAGGTATGGTAGATAAAAGTTACTCATTATCATCCCATTTATCTGTCTATGCACAGCAGATAGGTAGATAGGTAGGTAGATAGATAACAGATAGGATAGATGAAAATGATTTAAAGTTGTGACAAAGTGTTAAAATTGACTCTTTTGTTTGTGTTTCTTTTCTACTCAGATCAAACCCGGGCTTCACACATACTAGACAAGCACTCCACTACTTGGCTATGTCCTTAGACCCTTTATTCTCTTTACATACTTTTTCTGAGAGCCTGAAATTATTTCAAAATGAAATACAGAAAAATTTAATAAAGAAAAACCAAAAACTAGTATCTCATATATTAACTAGATAAATGGTATAAGAGATCATTCTATATAATTATAATAATTATAGTGCTGTAAAAAAAATAAGGAAAATACTCTCAATGACAACAAAACCTATGCCATACCTAGAAGAATAGAGTTTAAATTTTCTTCTGAGGGACAAATGGAGACGTAAACAAATGGAAACAAGAAACTAGTTCTCAGTTAGATTTAGAACTTAAGAAACCTTCTCTCTGTTATTTCATAAACCCCCGGGATCTCAATCAAAAGTAGGTTTGGGGGCTGGGGAAGTAGCTCAGATAGTAAGGTACTTGCAGAAAGAAACACAACAACCTGACTTTAATTGCCAGCACTGTGGTGGTATGAATAAGAATGGTCCTCCCAGACTCCTGTATTTGAATGTTTAGTCACCAGAAGTAGAACTGTTTGGAAGGATTAGGATTAGGGAGTATGACCTTGTTGGAAGAGGTGTGGCCTTGTTGGAAGAAGTGTGTTAGTGGAGGTGGGCTTTGAGGTTTCAGATGCCCAGGCCAGGCCTGGTCCTCCCAACCCAGCCTGAGGACCAGGATGTAGCTCTCAGCTACTGCTCTAATGCCTTGGATGTTGCCATGCTCCCAACGTGATAAAAATGGGCTGTACTCTGCCTACTGTCTTGTTCCCTGGGGCTTGTTTAGCCTGTTGTGGAATGCAGTCAGGACCACCTAGGTGAGCAATTTGATGGAATCTATGATACAAACTACTTTACCTCTGGAACTGTAAGCCAAACTAAGCTATTCTTTCTTAAGTTGCTTTTGGTTATGGTATTTTATCAGCAACAGGAAAGCAACCAATACAGCTACTGCAATTTAGTTTAGCAAAGTTGAAGGACACAGCATATGCAAATATTCTTGTATATTATAGAAATAAAATGAAATTCTAAAACTACCATTATAATAGCAAAATGTGTGTTTAGGAATAAATTTTATAAAAATTGTCAGATCATTAAAGTCTGCAAAAACAAACTAACCCTCAAGAGAAATCAAAGAGAATTTAATGGAGAGAAATGAATTATCATTACTCAAATTTATGGTTTGTATATAATCCTAATCAAAACCCAAAACCCATGCAGAGACTATTTTGTCTTTTCTTTGCCCACCTGTATGTGTGTGTGCGCGCGTGCACGCATGTGGTGTGTGTGTGTGTGTGTGTGTGTGTGTGTGCGTGCGCGCGCGCCCTCACATGCTGGTGTAGGCAGAGAAACATGTGCAGGTACATGTCAAGGCCCGGGGACAGCCTCTCATTGGCCTGGAACTTAGCAAATAAAGCTAAGTTGGCTTGCTAGCAAGTCCCTAGGATCCCTGGAATCTGCCTTCCTGGATCAAACTCTGCTTCTTGTGCTTGCTAGGCCAGCACTTTGCTGACTGAACCATCACACCAGCCCAGTCTCCTCTTCCCAACCCTACCTTCTCCTTCACTCACCACTCTCTTTTCCTTTCCTTTCATAAAATTACTATGAGTCAATTAATTTTTAAATGCAAAGGATCTATAACAGCAAAATGGATGAAATTAAAATTTGGGAGCTAACCTGATGTAGCTTCAGGAATTTTGTAGCTATAATAATATGACATAGTATTTATTACTTTGGCATCAGTAGGGAAATAGATCGAGGAAATGAAATACAGTCTGAAAATAAGCCCATATACATGCAAAACTGCCTTTTCTGAAGTGGAAGGACAATGTATAAAATAAGTAGATATTCATATGCAACAAAATATTGTTGCTTGCATATTTTAAAAGGAGTGTTGGATTTTATAATGGTTGACAAGTTACATGAAGATTAACTTTTCAATACTTTGTTAAGATTTTGATAGGCAGGTAGGTGTAGTGTTGGGCCCTGGAGAAAGGAGGTCATGAGAACTGACCATTCTGGGGTCTCTCTTAAATGTTCTGGATGTTCAGCAAGTTATGTATACTCAGACTTCTAGAAATGCAAATGTGTAGCAATTAGGGCGGTTGGTTGGTCATTCAGTCAGTCTGTCTTTCCTTTTTCTCTTACAGCAAGACATAATAGAGGCAGCAAAATAAAAGGCAAATTGATGAAATTACAGGCAATTAAGAAAAGTCTCAGCACTCAGTCATCTTTATACGGTTTTATTGTTGTTGTTTGTTTGGTTGTTTGATTTTTCAAACAGGGCTTTGCCTTGTAGCCTAGGCTGGTCTGGAATGTGCTGAATAGCTTAAGCTAGCCTGGAGTTCGTAGTTCTCCTCCAGCCTTCCTTGTCCATGTCTGCTTCACCATTATCAAGTTCTCATATGGGGGTTTTCACTAGATCAGAATTGGGGAAACTATCATCGAAACTATCTTGAAATTCAGTAGCTCCAATTGAGTATTACACCTGAGAAGTGACTGAATTTGGAGAATACAGGTGGGAAGTTAGTTTTAATATTTTAAGAGGCACAGTTGAGAATTAGTACTTGGGTTGTGTCTTCTGGACTTTGCTTTATTTTTGTCATGACTTAGTAAATCAAAGTTAGGGCAAAAATGGAGATCATCATTCTTTCTTTAATTTGAGGCTAGTTTTTATTAGAGAGAAAATTGAAAAGGGCTGGAGAGAGCTCAGCAGTTAAGAACACTTGGTGCTCTCCCAGAGGGTGCAGGTTCAATTCCCAGCACTCATAGGGCAGCTCACAGTTGTCTCAGGCAATCCAGTTCCCTTTTCTGACCTCTGTAGGCACCACACATACAAGAACACAGGCATGCATGCTGGGGCATAAAATACCCACTTAAAAAAAGTAGAAAATCTAGCAGTTCCAAAATTTGGCTATTCTATTTCTGTTCTTGTTCGAGTTAGGTTTTTATTTATTTTTTATCTTCCTCATGTGGCACAGAGATATTCTCATAGCTTTATAAGATATGTTGTACAATAACATAAAGTAACAAAGTTTCATAATCTATCACTTTAGCAGATTTGTAAAGATAATAAGCTTATAGATAAATGGTGTTTTGTTTTTGTTTTTTGTTTTTTTGGCTCATAGATTTGGAGGGTTCAGGCCACAGATGAGTGGGCAGGAAGTATAAGAGAGGGTCCCACTGTCCCTCTGAGGACATGCCTCCAGTTACCTGACTACCTCTTAGTACACCCAACCTCTTAAAAGCACCACCATTTCCTAGTTATTAAGGAACTAAGCCTTTACCTCATGAATATATGGGGACATGCAGGTAGATAATATAGCAGATAGTAAATAATTCTAGATTTGAATAGTTTTTTGCTAAGAATTTTTTAAAAAAAATCTGTCATCTTTTATGAGCACTTTCGTAAGGTTTTATATATATATGTATGTATGTATATACATATGTCATATATATCGTGAGTTTTAGTTTACTACAAATATTTTTCAAACTAACACATCTTTTTTTGGTATTTAGAACACATTATAATGAGGCTAATGGATAAAATAATCTCTACAAATGTAATACACCCACTTCCAGTATGACTGGATTTATCATAATGTGTCCCTCCCCTTTTAAGACAGGATTACTCTGTGTATCCCTGACTGTCCTAAAACTTGCTCTGTAGACCAGGATGGTCTTGAACTCAGATCCACCTGCGTCTCTCTCCCGGGTGCTGGGATTAAGGCGTGCATCTTTGTTCTTTTTCTCATTTTAGGAAAAAGGAAGATGAATAAAATGTTTCTCTGTAATATAAACCGGAGAAACATTTTTGGAGAGAATTTAGTGTATAAAGCTGCTCTCCATAATGATGTTGATCTGGTTCGCTGTTGCATAAAAAATGGTGGAAATGTCAATCAGCCAAGTTATGCTGGTAAGTCAGGGTTACCACCCACAGTTGTCTAGGGAGCCATTTGTAGTCATAGCTGAATTGCCCAGGTGGAGAGTGTGACAAAGTGAGCCGAAGGCAGTATGCTCTCCAGTAATCTTCTGGCTCTCCATTATTCCCAAGGAAAAGAATTAGATGGGTGGTGGAAAAACCCACAAGAAATACATTTCTTGTGGAAAATGTCAGGCAGGTCGTGTGCAGTGGCATTATATAGAAGAAAAGATGTTTCCCGGTGCTAGCTTTGCAAGACTGTTTAATACGAGACTTAACCTCAAATGAGTAAGATGAGATCAAAACTAGAAGTGAGTAATGTTAACTAAATTTCAGGGGGAAATTCGTAGTAATGCAGGGATAACAGAAGGAATAATGACCAGGGGAATGGGCAGAGTAGGACGAGAGGCAGAAGATGGGTAGGTTGCTCAGAAAGGAACAGTCTTTCCCTGTGGCTGGCTCTGCAGCACTTCCTTCTGGGGAGAATCTTACATTTTTCTGGATTGGACTGACGTATAGATACTTGTATATTAGTGCACAAAACAGCAGTGAGCCAGTCTGGGGGGGGGGGGTGGCTTTGGAGCAGCTGTACTTTTCCTGTTGTTTCTAGCTTGTCTTTTATTAGACAGTTTGACATCTGTGGTGCATAAGTGATGGCATAGTACAACCCATGGTTGAGCAGGCGCTCCTCTAGTACTTGGGTTATAAGGCCTGGGTTTGCAGTGCAGTCATAGTTCAACATAATTTTTAAAATTACTTATTTTTATTAGATTTATTGATTGATTTTAGTGTGCATGTATGTATGAGTGTGGGTGTGCATGCATACTTACAGCAGCACATGTATGGACATGAGAGGAAATGTTGTGGAAGTCAGTTCCTTCTTTCTACCATGTGGGATCCCAGTAGGTGGAATGGGTTCCAAAAGCAGGCAACAGAGTCAGAGACAGCCCCTGCTCCAGTGTTAGGAGTCCCACAAGAAGATCAAGCTACATAAGTCTAACACATATGCAAGGGGCCTAGGTTAGTCCCATGCAAGGTTCAGTCTCTGTGAGCCCCATGTGAGCCCTGGTTCTGTGGATTTTTGTGTCTGCAAGCCATTTTCATCAGAAATTAACATTTGTTTAAAAATACAACTATTCTCTGTTTCTCTCAGTGTCTCTCTCTCTCTCTCTATCTGTATGTTTATGTGCGTAGCACAGAGACATCTGTAGCTTAGTAAGTTGCCCAGGTTATTTTTATCTTATAAAACAAGAGCTATTATCACAACACAATGGAAATCAGTGTAGGATACCTTAAAGTGGAACTACCTACCATGTGCTTAGGGATGTAGATGTCATAGGCAATGGTGGTTGTTGCTTCAGGGTGTAGCTGTCACAGCAGTATAGGAAAGGCGCATGTCACTTTTTGAGGACATTATAAAGGTAGCTCTGCTCTTTTGGGCCATTATTTTGTTCTGGGTGGGTACACTATTCCTAGCAGCAAAGATGACGTGTTTTTTGGCATCAGTGCATTGCTTGGAATCTGAATTGCATTTGTAGACCCAGGTGGGGTACCTTTGTAGGTTTGGTTTTATATTTTAAATTGTATGCTTGTCTCTGTATGCATGTCTGTCTCTCCCCAGTGTTCAAACAGAGCACAGGAACCTTTTTTAGTACTTTGGCGCATCAAGCTGTTTAGCTGCTTTTTGAGACTACTTTGCAAGACCTCTGCACTGGTCATCAAATGGCACTAGACAGGAAAGGTCCAGTTGAGGAAGCCCCAACTTAGGTTGAGTTCTTTTCTGATATAACACCATAGTACATATTAATTGAAAGTTCCTCAAACTGGACTAAAGTCTGCAAGGACAAGAGTCTTCTCCAACAGCAAATATTTAAGGTACTGTGTTATTAACAGGGTCACCTCCTATTCATTCCTTGTCATATGAAGTCCTTCATGGGTACATGGTTGCTTTGAGTAGGGAAATGGGATAGTAGATAGTTGTACTTTGATCTAGTTTGCTTTCTTACTGTAATAAAACAATGTCAAAAAACAAATTGGGAGAACAAAGGGTTTATCTTCATTTTATAGATTATAGTCCATCAAGAGAAATGAAGGCAGGAGCTCAAGAAGAAACCTAGAGGCAAATATTGACCCAGGAAACACCTGGATATTATGAATAAACATGTAATGAACATGGTTAAGCAAGTGTCTCTGTGGTAGGATGAAATTTCCTTTGGATATTCCCAAGAGTAGAATAGCTGCATCTTTAGGTAGATTGATTCCCAGCTTCCCGAGGAACTGCCAGACTGATTGCCATAGTGATCGTATAAGTTTACACTCCCACCAGCAATCGACAAGTGTTCCTTTTACTCCACATCCTTGTCAGCATGAGCTGTCACTGTTTTATTGATCTTAACCACTCTGACAGGTGTAAGATGGTATATCAGAGTCGTTTTGATTTGCATTTCCCTGATGGCTAAGGATGTTGAACATTTCTTCAAGAGTTTCTCAGCCATTTGAGTTTCCTTATTAGGAATTTGTAATTGGTGTTTTTACTTTTTGGGGAGCCTGCCACTCAGCTCTCAAGTACATACACAGAGATGTAGTCTTTCTTATGAATGCCTGGCCTTAGCTTGGCTTGTTTCTAGCCAGCGTTTCTTAAATTATCTTGTCTACCTTTTGCTTTTTACTTTAGTCTATATCCCTTTCTTTCCTTTCACCCTGTGGCTGGCTGTGTTGCTGCGTGGCTGCCTCTGGCGCCCTCCTCTCCTCCTTTTCTCACTCCTCCTCTTCTCTTTTTCTCCTTCTATTTATCCTTTCTGCCTGGCAGCCCTGACAATCCCTCTCCTAGCTATTGGCCATTCAGCTCTTTATTAGACCAATCAGTTGTTTTAGGCAGGCAAAGTAACACAGCTTCACAAAGATAAACAAATGCAACATAAAAGAATGCAACACATCTTTGTGTCATTAAATGAAATATTTCACAGCATAAACAAATTTAATGCATCTTAAACTAATATTTTACAATAGGAATTCGTTGTTTAGATCTGTACCCCATTTTTAATTGGCTTATTGGTTTTTCAATATCTAGTTTTTTGAGTTCTTTATATGTCTTGGATATTAGCCCTTTATCAGATGTATAGTTGGTAAAATTTTTTTCCCATTTTGTAGGTTGCCATTTTGTCTGATGATGGTTTGTTTTGCCATGTAGAAGCTTTTCATTTTCATGAGGTTCCATTTATTAATTGTTGATCTTGGTTGTGCTAACAGTATTCTGTTGAGAATTCCTGTACCAATAAGTTCAAGGCTATTCCCCAATTTCTCTTCTACCACATTGAGTGCATCTGGTCTTATGTTGATGTCTTTGATCCATTTGGAATCGAGTTTTGTGCAGGGTGGTAAGTAGATCTGTTTGCATTCTTCTACATGTGTAGCCATGCAGTCTTACTGAAATACAAAAAAGTAAAGTTAAAGAACCCCCCCCCCACTTGAAATGAAGGACAGACTAACCTGGAAAGCTAACCCAGACCAATATATGTTCCTTCCCCTCACAAGGCCCTGAGATAACAAGATACCAAGAATTCACACTGCCCCTCTTTTCTTGTGAGTCAGCAGGTGGTGAATAGGGTCCTTAAGAAACAAAGAGATAACTGTACCTCCAGTTTGCCCAGACAAGATTAATTAGCACACCCTGAGGCCCTAAGGTCTGTTGACCTTAATAGCAAGACCATCTGGCCTCAAAGGGTCACGTACTCAATTGGCAGAGGGTCCCACCCCATCCCTAAGCTTGTGGGTTTTGCCTTTAAAAACACCTGTGCCCTGGGGATGGGGCTTCTCTTTAGCCTGAGTGCTGGGGGAGCCCATTTGCGCAAACGTTTCCTGTTCATTAAAGCCTCTTGTGTGTTGCAGCAACTGGACTGGACATTGAGTTCTCGGGGGTACCGACCAAAACTGGGAGACTCCTCATTCTGAGGGTCTTACGTTACCAGAGCCATTTGTTGAAGATGTTGCCTTTTTTTCAGTGTGCATTTCTGGCTAAAGAATTAAACAAAACGAAACAAAAAACAAAAAAAATACAGGTGTCCATAAATATGTGGATTTATATCTGTGCCTTTAATTTGATTCCATTGATCATCTTGTCTGTTTTGTTTGTTTGCTTGTTTTTGTTTTGTTTTGGCCAGTATCATGCTGTTTTTAATTTTGGAAAGGTAATGCTCCTAGAAGTTCTTTTATTATTTAGGATTATTCAAGCTCTGTGTGTGTGTGTGTGTGTGTGTTTCTTATGAAGCTGAAATAGTTCTTTCAAGATCTTTGAAGAATTGTCTTGAACTTTTGAAGGGGATTAAAGTGAATCTGTAGATTGCATTTGGTAGGATGGCCATTTTTACCATGTTAATCTTACAGATTCATGAGCATGGGAGATCTTTCCATCTTCTGATGCCTTTTTTAATTTCCTTTTTCAAAGACTTGAAGTTTTTAATCATGTAAGTCTTTCATTTGCTTGGCTACAATTACCCCAAGATATTTTATATTATTTAATACTATTGTGAAAGGTATTATACTTTCTCAGTCCATTTGTCATTTCTGTATAGGAGGCCTACAGATATTGTGTGTTACTTTTGTATCCAGCTACTTAGCTAAAAAATGTTTTCTAGCTATAGGAGTTTCCTGGTAGAATTTGTATCCATCAACTTTGCTGAATGTGTTTATCAGCTGTAGGGGTTAGTAGTGGAATTTTAGGGCTAGTTATATATGCTATCATATTGTTTGCAAAGAAAAATACTTTGACTTCTTTCCAGTTTGTTTGTCCTTGATCTCCTTCAGTTGTCTTGCTGCTCTAGTTAAAACTTCAAGCACTATATTGAATAGGTATGGAGAGAATGGACAACCTTGTCTTATTTCTGATTTGATTGGAATTGCTATGAATTTGTGTTAATGGTTTCTCAGTTGAGTTGACTTTCCTCTCAAAGGAACACTGGAAAATATTTACCAACAGTTTTGGTTGTGAGCTTAGCCTTTTAACATCTGAGCCATCTCTCTAGCCTTTGCCAGTCTTTTCAATGCTGTTTCTGAAATAGTAGATGCCTTTTCAGTCCCAGAGATTGAGGCCAGGAAAGCTATTAAATAGTCCATGATGCTCAGAACAAAAATGAATTTTCTAGCCTAAAATAGTCAGTGCTTAGATTGAGAACCAAATTGTAAGTTAAATGTGACTTTTACTGGAATTTTTGGACTTCATTAAATCTATCATATAATTTATTGAATTTAGTAATTATCAACAATGTACTGTTACCTCTGACTAACAAGGTGATGTTCATATAAAGACAGGGTATATGGTTTGTTGGTTAAATTACTGCAAATATAAATAGTTGTTTGTGTACTAAGGGGAAATATGCTTTTTAACTCTCACATATGTGGACTGCTGGCTGAGATACTTTAATGGTTATACCTTGAATTAGAAATAGAGCCTTTTCCCTCTTCCCTATAGAAGTAGCCTGTAACCAGTATCTGTGCTGCTTGATAACTGACTGGGAAGGGTATTAAGAATAAATACTTGCTTTCTTGGGTTGGAGCAGTGACTCAACATAGGACTCATGTTCAGTTTCTAAAACTTATATCAGGCAGCTCACAGCCACTTGTAACTTTATGTCCAGGGATATCCAGTCCCTTTGACCTTCATGGGCACTTACTTCATTCATATGTACATTGCCACATAGAGATGTAGGTACACACATAACTAAAAATAAATGTTTATTGTCTCTTTTTTATATTTGTGTGTGTGTGTGTGTGTGTGTGTGTGTGTGTGTGTGTGTGTTTGTGCTGATGTAACATGAGGGTGTTAGACCCCCTAGAGCTGGAGTTACAGGTAGTTATGAGCTATCTAGTGTGAGTGCTAGGAACCCAACACAGATCCTCTCCAGGAATAGAATATGCTATTGACTGCTGATGTATTTCTCTAGCTCCTAGAATTGTTTTTGCTTTTTTAAAAGACTAAGCATGAACCATTATCAAGATGTCAAATAAAAAATGTCTTTCTTGTCTAATAGGGTGGACAGCACTTCATGAAGCTAGCGTAGGAGGGTATTATCAGACAATAAGTGAACTACTAAAGGGTGGAGCGGATGTGAATGTCAAAGGAAAGTACCAGATTACTCCCCTACATGATGCTGTGATGAATGGACATTATGAGGTACTTTAATGTTTCTGTTTATAGAGTAAACACAGTATTTGTAAATACTGATGATCTCTCTTACCTCACAGTAGGAAAAGAAGTTTCAGTTCATTTACTAATGAGCACTCAGACTTTGCATCATGGTCCTGTTAAGCACTATTCCCGAATGAATGCAGTGTGTTCTGGTTTTCTTTGCTAAAGAATATGTGTGAAGATCCAGATATAAATTCTTTGGCTTCTTCCTATGACTGGCTTATGTGTAAACTTAATTTTATCTACTATTGCTTTGTTTTTGTATATAATACTAAATACCCTTGTAAAGCAGTTAAAAAAAAAAAAGACTCATCACGTTGCTAATTCTTAATAATTTTTAAAGAATCTGTTCTTCTCTTTTTCTATTAGAATATGTCCTCTGTTGTAACTTCTAAGTGTTACATTTGCACTGTAAATTTTGTACTGTTTTATTGTGTGGACTGAAATGATGATCCACATGAGATAGTGATTGATAACCACATTGATCAAGCCAATTAAAAGTTTTAAGTCCTTTTTTGTTGGTGGCCAGACCAAGAGCAGACTTGTGCTTCTGAAAAGTCTCTTGGTGCCCAAGCTCAGGGATGCAGTTTTAAAGACAAAACCACCAAGACCATAATTTACATCAAAGTTAGATGAGGGTCAGAGTAACCTTGAACCATTCATTCCTGGAAGAGCATGGTAGTTATTTCAGACATAATGTGCCGGTTATTGTGGTTAATACATCTGGATTATGATCGAGGACATGGAAAACTCAAATGCGTTGCTAAGGCAGATGTGACCATTGTGTATGTGTGTGTGGGGGGGGGGCTGAGAACTGTCTAAGCACATAAAATGGAATCAGAACAAGATGGTGTTATTTTAGTCATTTTAAGATAGCTTGAAATAAAATTTTCAGGTGTGACAGTGGTAAGAATGAATAAATATTAGCAAAAGTTTGGGGTTAGTGAAAGTTTCTAGTGCCAGTAATGTCATTAGATCATGTTGGTTTGCTAGAGAAGTGTGTGTGGTTTCTAGATCTCGGACTGTTAGCAGTGCTGTTATTGCCATCATCTTCGTCACTCTTATGTATGTGTATCTCATTGTGCCGTTATTTCACATACAGTTAAGTGTGTCTTTGTGGAGGCTGCACAGAAAGAGACTTATTTTTTCCACTTCAAACTGTTATTGTTGAATATGTATGTATGTATGTATGTATGTATGTATGTATGTATGTATGTGTACATATATATGCATGCATATATATGTATATGTATATATTAATGATATAGGACTTGGAGGGGATTTTCTTATTTTAACTGAATTCCTGTTTAATAATTACAGGTACCACACCCCCTTCTGCTTTATAGCTAAAAATGAAAGTAAGAAACATAAAATATTAGCTCTACATCTCAAGCCACTCCATCTAAACTAACTTCTAGTTTAAGGAAAAAGAAAAATAAATAGTAGAGTTAAATGTTTCCAGGAGAATTAGATGAACTTATCAGGACATCTTTAAGAAAAATTATTCTAATCATTACAAAGAGGGAATACTTAAATAAAAAAAAGTGAAAAGAGTATGTGAACCATGATTGGGACATATGTATTTGGGGGCTGTTTGGAGAATATGAATATGTACTAGATACTGGATAAGTGATACAATATATAGTTAGTTTCTTGTCTAAGCTGTGTAATACTATAATCATGGTCTTGTGAGCATTCTTAGGAGGAGCACATTTAAATATTTTAGAGGTGAAATGTCACAGTATTTACAATTACTTGTTTAAAAAGTTATTCATTTCTTCTTATACTCACATACCTACATTTATACAGATAACAAGCATGTATGTATGAAGTGGGGGGGAAAGGTTAATTGTTGATCAGATAAAGGATATATAACTGTGCACTGTATTCTTGTTTGTTTTTGAAACAGGGTCTTTCTACCTAGTCCTAGTTGTCCTCAAACTCATTATGTAGACAAGAATGGCCTCCAATTCACAGATCACTCTGTCTCCCGAGTGCTGGAATTAAAGGTGTATGCCAACATGTTGGATTTCCATTGTATTCTTGGGGGAAATTATCCTTGAAGGAAAAACTAGCAGGATTCATTTTAAAATAAAACTCATGGACATAAAATTGATATACTATAAATTTCACCTATAAGAGGTGTATAATTCACTGGTTTGGGTCTATTTGGTAACCATAGCTGTAGTATATCTTTGTGTTTTTAATACTAAAGAAGAAAGCCTCTTTTTTTTTTTTTTTTTTTTTTTAGCCAGCACTTCCTATTGACCCAAGTCTTCTTGCCCTAGGAAACCATTTATCCAGTGTCTGTCTTGTGATTAGACCAAAGCTCCCCTTCCCTCCCCTTCCCTTCCCTTTCCTCCCCTCCCCTCCCCTCCCCTCCCCTCCCTTTCCCTCCCCTTCCCTTCCCTTCCCTTCCCTTCCCTTCCCTTCCCTTCCCTTCCCTTCCCTTCCTTTGTCTTCTCTCCCCTTTTTCTTGTTTAGTTTGTTTGGGTTTTGGGTTTTTTGTTTGCTTGTTCTTTTGTAAGAGAAAGGGTTTTCTATTTTAACAAATTATAACTTAGAGGCAATTACTAATTATGTTTATTGGACAGATATTTTATAGGTAACCTTGATTCTCTGTTGTTGAAGTAAATGTTTGGTGGTGTTTAGAGTCCTGTGCTTGCATACATTTACAAAATATACCCTTTGTCTGGATTCCTTTATGTGAACAATCTTTTTCTAGGTGGCGGAGTTACTTCTCTTGAATGGAGCTGACCCATTATTTAGAAGTGACCATGGAACATGTGCTTTGGATGAGGCCAAGGATTCCTTTATGGAGAATCTCCTTAGGAAATACATTCCCAAACATACAAAGTGTCACCTATCAGGTCACCTATCAGGTAAGATTGAACCATTCTGTAGTAGTTTTTGACCATGTTGATAGAAACTGAATTTATAATTGTGGAAACTGGATTAGTTTCTCCCACAAGTTTTGAGAAAGTGATGTCTTTGTTTTATCCCTTGAATAAAACCCTCAAATAGGACCCTCAAAAAGGAAGAACCCACTTTGCCTCCAACTGTGATAGTGCTAATAGTTAAGAACCCTTTTGCATGTCAGGTGTGGTGGTGTACATCTTTAATCCCAACACTTGGGAAGCAGAGGCAGGTAGATCTCTGAGTTTGGGATCTGCCTGTGGTCTATGAGGAGAGTTCTAGGATAGCCAGGGTGTATGGAGTCCTTGTCTGAAGAAACAAATCCAAAGATAAATAAGAAATAAACCTGTTACAAATTGCTGCTTTCTTTTGAATTCTTTGATAAAAATTATAATTTTAGTCACTTCAGTGAAAGAGGATGGTATATATATATATCCATTATTCATTCTCTAAGAGTTTTCTTTATGGCCATGTTTTGATTTCCTATTACATTGTCAAGTTAAATTATAAAGTAATTTCATCTGAGATTGTAAAAAAATATTATTTTAAGTACTTTAAAGCACATAGCCTTTTTTTGTTTTTATTTTTTGGTTTTCCAGACAGGGTTTCTCTGTATAGCCCTGACTGTCCTGACTTGCTCTGTAGATCAGGCTGACCTCGAACTCAAGAGATCCTCATGCTTCTGCCTGTCAAGTGCTGGGATTAGAGGTGTGTAACACCACAGCCTGGCTCATGGCATATTTTTATACCCTTGATGGGAGATGTCATTCTGTAAATATGTTTCTCTTGACTGGTTAATGAAATAAGCACTGTTGGCCAATAGGAAAGGAAGATAGGAGGCAAGGAGGATTCGAGGAAGTAGTAAGGAAGAGTCAGCATATAGAGACCAGGGAGAGCAGATGCTGGCCCCACTGTCTGGTAAGATGAGACCACGTGGAAATACTTAGATTAATAGAAATGGATTAATACTTAAGACAGAGCTAGCCGAGAAGAAACAAGTAACTGGCCAACAGAATTATACCTAATACAGGGTCTCTGTGTGTTATTTGGGGCTGGCGCAGCTGGGAGACCAGGCTGGCAGAAAACCACTGGTAACATACCCTCTTCAATGCATCTGTTAGATTTTTTTTTGGTAACATCATAGCATTCCTTGATCAAAGGAATTGGCTCTTCATTCTTTTCATACCCTCATCTTTGAAGTGCTACACTATCTCTTTTGCTGTGTTCTGTTTGTTAGAAATGGGTCACTAAGTTCACCTGCACTCAAGGGGAGATTTCGTTTCCATATTTTGAAAACAGTTTTAAAAAATACAGATATCAAGCCGTGTGTCAGTGGCGCACACCTTTGATTCCAGCACTCGGGAGGCATAGGCAGGTGGATCTCTGTGAGTTCGAGTCCAGCCTGGTCTACTGAGGTAGTTCCAGGACAGATCCAAAGCAATAAAGAGAAAGAAACCCTGAAGCAGATGTCAGTGCCTTCATTCTAGGGCTGTTTACGTCGCTCTACTGTGCCCGTCTCCACAGCACAGCACTAGTGTGCTGGCATAGGACACTGTTTACTTATTGTTTTATTTGCGTTGTCCTCATATAGAATATAAGTCCCATGAAGGAAAGAATCTTTGCTTTATCTTCTTTCGAATACTGAATTTGCCTTGTACATAGCAGCCATTCAACAAATAATTTTTGAATAGTGTGCCTGAAACAAAAACATTGTTTTCCATTCAGAAGTATGTGAGCTCTTAATTTTCCCAACTTCCCCTTTCCCCCCTCTATGTTTTGTTACATTTATTTATTGTATGTGTGCACGCACACATGTACCATATTGTGTACCATATCATGTATACATGGAGGTCATGGAAATCAACTCTATCCCATGTGGATCCCAGGGATCAAACTCAGGTCTTCAGCCTTGGTGGCAAATACGTCTCTGTGGTCCTTAAACTATAATTTTAATTTTTAAAAAATTTCCAGGAGATAATTCTTTCAAATGCTTTGAGTATTATTATCTTTAACAACTAAGGCTTATGCTTTTGGGATTTCTCTTTTGTTCAAGGGAAGATTAGTCTGAGAATCCTGCTAGAACAAGTATTGTTCCCTCCAATCTGTAGGAAGTTTAAGCTGGTGTAGAAATCTAATCTCTGCTACAGTTCTGGTTCTCTCTGGATCCAAGCAATACAACCACGCCTGTCTTATCAGCTCTTTTTGATGGCTTAAGGGTCTTTCAGTAAGATTTCTTTGGTGGCAAATAATCATTTTAAAACAGAAAAAGGACTTTCTCGGAAGAACAGCTCAATCATGAAAGAAAAAGCTGAGTAAAAGCAGCTCCATGGATCTAGGCAGCAGGGATCTGTGGAGTTCTGCCATCAGAACATGTGTTAGACAGCTAAAACCCTGACTGCCATCGTCACTCTGGAAAGAATTTATCACTCACTTCCTTCATTCCTTCCTTCTTCTTTCCCTCCTTCCCATTCATTTATTCTTTTGTTCATGGCTTACTATGTGTTAGGCAACAGTTAGGCTAACACCTAATAATACAAAATTAATAATAAAAAAAAAACAAGTAGCAAACAATTACAGAGAAGTGCATGATAAAGAAATGATTTAGATTCCCCGAGAATACATGAAAAGGCTGTACTTCTCGGACTTCTTTAAAACCTGGTATACAAACATCATTGTTGTTGATTGTTATCACAAGCCTTTTGATAACTCTGCTGGAAAAGCCCTTTTCTTGTTCTAAGTTGTTTCAAATAAAATTGAAAGATTGAAAGTGTACTTCCTTCCCAACTGGGTTATATTTACTATGACAGTTCTCCCAATTAGTGTTGAGTGTATTTGCTGAAAAGAAAAGGGGCTATCAGCATTCTGACTGTTGGATGAGACTGGTCCTCCTTCATGGATACATTTTATTATTTTTCCCATTTTATTATGTTATAGCCATTCATATTTTTTTACATCTTTAAGACATGTAATTATATAAATGCTTTTGACTAAGGACTAAAACCTTAGACCAAAATGCCTCATTTTTGTAACAAAGAAAGAACCCTGAACTTTTTAATGTGATCTTACTGTATTCTTAGGCTGGTCTTGACCCCCTGGGTTCCTCAATAGCTGGGACTATAGACATACACCTTGGTGCGGCTTTTGCAAGGTAGCGAGTAAACTTTAGAGCAGAGACTTTTAGAAACAAGTCACATCAGATAAGACAGACATGACTTGTTGATGCCAGGTTCATAAGAGCATACTGAAGTAAACTATTAAAACAATCGTATTTATGTTTCAAGGCATGAAGGTGAGGATGTAATTATATCACTAGACCCAAGAGAAATGATAAATGGGTGTTTATTGGGGAACAATTACACAGAAAAATACCAAGAGCTGCCTGAGCATTTTCCTGCTTTCCCTATGGGATCTGCTGACTCAACAGAAAGACTGAACAAAAAAGCCACGCCTCAAGCTCCTTCTCTCTTTCCACTTCCCTCCGCCTGAATCCACACCCAAAGGGGTATGGCCACTGTTTCAGGTCCAGATACCCACCTACAAAGACACACAAAAATTTCAAATAAAATGTCAATGCTAGAGGAACAAGTTTATAAACTCCGAGATGTGCCGTGATGCTATTCTTAATCGTGTGGCTTCCTTATTCTCTAATGAGAGAAATATTTTTTTCTTTTCTAAAGTGTTTTCTCCAGAATTCTAGCCCTCTCTGAATCCTGAAGCCCTGTTCACTAGTGCCCCTCCTCTGTAACCCGTTTTTCTAATCTAGCACCACACATGGAATTTCCTTCATGAAGCAGAATTCGTAACCTTTCTCCTTTGGATTTGGCTTTTGTTCTTTCTTTGTGAGAGAATTTATTTATTATGCTTTAGCAGGTGCTTTGACTATTTCTTAAGCATGAACATTTGAATTGTCATTAATTACCACCCTGTTTTCCAAAGTAATGTGAATTTTGTTTTCTTAATAAGTATATATCCTAGAATAAGACATTTGTTTTTAAATTTTAGTTCAAAAAGACTTTGTTTTAATTTATAGAAAATATGGATATTTATGTCTTTTGACTTAAGAACCAATGTGTTCCTTATGTTCTTAAAGCTATTATCAGAAATAGTAGTAATAATAGAATATTTTCTTTACATGGGTTTCACTACTTAATCTTCGTAATTTTGTAGCATTTCTTAGTTTTCATTTATGGATATTTGATGAAGGCAAAGACAATAAGGAATTTTCCCAGGGTCACCTAGCTCATAAACATGAGAAGCAATAGGGAAACTCTGGAGTATGGTTTGATAGGATACTCTGGGCAACTCTTCTCACTTGAATGCGGTGAATGGATTTGATTGTACTGGTAAAAGTCATTTCTAAGAAATAAACTTCTCATATTTAATCCATTCTTGTTAAGATATTTTGTTTCCCACTTACATTCAAGGAAATTTATATTTTTATGTATCCCTTCTAAAATGTTAGTTTATTCCAGCAGATATTCATTGCATATTTTCTATGTGCAAGTGAACCTTCATAAGGTTTTATATTTTGTGTTTAACTGCACTTGTGCCTAATTTTAATTATGCATTCAATGTTTTAAGAAGGCAAGGAGAAATATGCTATATTGCAATATTTTGATTACCAACTTTAACCCCTTTTTAAATATAAGTATTTTTGTTTCCTCTATGCATTCCCAGTGTTGTTGATCTTGTCTATGCATATGCATGTTTTGCTTTGAAGACAATGTAACATTCATGCTAGGACCCTACTAAGCAGACATATTGGAAAATGATAATCTATTTAAAGTTTTTATTACATAATGTGTGTGTGTGTGTGTGTGTGTGTGTGTATGTGTGTGTGTGTGTGTAGTATGTTATGTATCTAGAGAACAAGGGACACCTTGTAGGAGTCAGTTCTCTCTTTCCTCATTGTGAGTCCTAGAGATAAAACTCAATTTATTGATCTTGGCAGCATATGCCCGTATCCACTGACTCGTCTTGCCAGCCCATGATAATCTATTTAGTTATAAAAGGGCTTTTTTAAAAACCTAATAAAAAACAGCTTGAATAATCTACTGAATAAAGAGAACATATATGAATATTTCTGTGAGTAAATTAAAAAGTACTAAGTTTAGTGCTCATCTTTATTATTAGTCATTTTGTCAGATCTATTTACTTTTTCAATAGAAACATTGTCACTCAAAATAATACTTAGCTTGTAATGTAATAAATATGGAAACTATATGGTCATATTGTATGTGCCAGATTTAATATAAAACATTTACATGATTTCACATATTCCCTCTAGTTTTACATTTTTATTTGAGTGTGCCTGTGTGTCTGTGTGTTTGTTCATGTATGTGAGTACAGGTAGAAGGCAGAGGACAACTCTGGGAGAGTCTTCTCTCCTGCCACCTGTGGGACCCAGGTATTGGATTCAAGTTATTAGGCCTGCCTGAGTTCGAACCTGCTTGCCCATTTTGCTGGCCCACTCTAGTTTTTCTTTGTTTGTTTTTGTTTTGAAGTCTACTGGAAACTGTTTTCTTATTTTCTCTTTTTATATGCAGCCGAAAGGAAGAGCACTGTCCCAGCATATGTAGAAGATATATTCCAGTACAAGGTAAATCTGTATTCAGTAATAAGTGTTTTTGCAGGTTTGTACCTGCTGGTTATTTTTGTAGATTACCAGAGGGAAAGAAAGACTGGTGAAGCATTAGTCAGGTTAGGGACTTCACCTTTGCTTTGGTTTAAGACACTTTGGAATAATTAAATGATTCTAGCCAGTTAGTCTGAGAAGCAGTTAGGTAAGCATACTGTGGTAATGTGTAGCAAGTCATATCCTTTCGGTTGCTCTTCATGGGGTCTGGGACTTAAAAACCATATCAAAATTTTTCTGATTTAAGAGTAATACAGGTATACAAGAATAATAGTTACAGTTGTCAGTCCAACAGAATTTACATTATGGGTGGTTACTCTTCATCTGGTATTTGAGTTCTGGCCACTAAAAAGCAGTGTTGTTTTAATCCTAGCATCCCACAATCAGGTTTCCAGGGAAACCATTTTAGAAGTCATTTGTCTTTTGATTTTCAAATCCCATCTTCCACTGTTCTTCCCATAATTCTTTTAGATAGCAAAGGAAGAAACTAACCTAATTCTAGTCTTTGCTATGTGACAATTGGAAGAGGGTAATGTCTTGAAAGTTCTCCTGTAATCTTTCCCTTTACAGAGTCTCACAGAGTCTATAGCTATGTAGCTGAAATTAAATCTAACAATGTTTTTTGTTGTTGCTTTTTTTTTATAGAAACCAAAATTAAGTTCTAATAATCACACTGAGTTTATCTGTGATGGAAATTGTAATAGACAGGAACCAGGACATATAGAAACCAATAAAGGAAGCAATAATTTACTTGTAAATAAAGAATATGTATATGAACATTGCCAGAAAAATTCCAGTGCCACAGAATTTGACAAGTCCAAGTCTAGGCAATCAGTTGTTAACCAAACTGACTCTATAGGACTCAGAAGGAACAATGTCCACAGTGTGAAAGATAGCAGAACTGATGTGTCCAAAAGTAAAGGACCAATAGATATACAACATAAAGAAACTCAAGTAGGTGATAGACACTCTAGTTCAAGTCAGGGAATAGCTGTTTCTTCTTTCAGGAGAATGAATACGTTAGTTACCCTGCAGCAGCATACCGCCCAAACCCTTGTTGACCTTCCAAAAGAGTCATGTGAACTTTCTATCCCAATTTCAGCAAGCTTAAAAAATAGTTCCGGTAACAGCAATGAGGCTTGTTTGGTTTCCAGAAAGTTGAATACCCACATTCTGGATTTATCAGATAGTCAAGAAATGGAGTTCTTGGAATTAGGGTCCGTTGATCAAACTAAAGCTTCTTCCTTCTCTGAACTTCCTTTATATAAAGAAATAAAATTACCACATGTAACTGCAGATCAACAACCTCACACTAACCAAGATCAATGCAGTAGATCACGTAATCCCCTTGAAAACAATAGCTTGGATGAAAAAGGCAGAAACCTTAATGAGTGGGAAGATTCCTTCCTCTCCTTCATAAAAGGACGCTTTGCTGACAGCGATAGTGATTGCCAGACGTCTGTCAAGTCTGTGGCCTCTCAGAAAGAGTCCATGGGCCACTGCCATAATGAAGAGAGCACAGCTGATGGAGAAGAAATGGGCTCTGTGCAGGTTTTATCCCCTGAAAACTATTTTTCACAGGAAAATGAGCTAACTACATATCCACAAGAAGAAGAAGCTGTTAATTATTGTGATTCAAATAAAACATTAATTTATGAGCAACATATTCCAAATTATAAGCAGTATATATATGGAACTTCTTTTGATCACTCATATGCCAGTACAGGGCACAATGCGATGCCTTGTAGAAGACCACCTTCAACACAGGAAGTTACACAGGTGACTGGTCAAGTGGAGGTATTAAAAGCATTCCAGAACAATGCCCACAGAGAGCCAACTCCTTTAGTAAATCAAGCCGATACATATAATATGGAGAAGATGCAAGACACTGAGAGGAATGATACTGTAAAAGACCAAAAAGCAAGTTCTTCAAATAGTCCTTTACACACACTTGTTCATTCTCAAGTAATAGAAATAAGTACAGCTGAAAAAAGGACGCAAGACCTTCCAGGGAACGAGCCTGTGAATAATGCAGATTTTCATTCCACTGACAATGTGAATAAAGAATTGGCCAACTCCTCACAGCGTACTCAAGGAGAGAAGGAAATGGCTCAGAAATCAGGTATTAATATTTCTCAATTTGCTAGTTCTCCTGTAGAAATTTACAACTGAATTCTATTTACCCTTGGTCCAACTGACAAGCAGGAGGTCACCGTGCAGGTTGTGATTTGGGAAACTGATAAGCTCAGTAAGATATCCGTGCTTGATTGTGATTTTGGGGCTTCTACTCTGTCATCTGGGCTAGCCAAACATCCTTAGTACTTACTTTGAAAGTCAAAGTGTTACCAAAGATGGTTACTAAACTGACACCAGTGAAAGCTAATGAACAATAGACCTACCAATTTTTCTATTGCTTTTTAATATAACACTAATTTAGTTTTCATGCCCTAAAGTCATCTTCATGGCAGAAAATTGCTATCCCCACTGATCACAGCTATTCATTGTGTCTCCATCAGCACCACAACCAGCACACTTAGTCTTTTCTGTAAAAACTCCTCATGTTCTTTTTGAAACAGAAACTCTGAAGAACAGGGGTTTAATTTTCTTCTCATATAATCAAGAAGGGGGAGTACAAGACTGATACTATAACTGGTTGTGTTTCAGATGAGGAGTTAACTGGTAATGCCAGCAGAGCTGGAAGAGCTGTGAGAGATTGCAAGGAGAAAGGGGAGAAGGTGGATTTAGAAACTCACATGACTCGTGATACCCAAGAACACAGAAAAGACCAGAGTTTCAGGAAAAGGAAAGGTTCTTTGGAATCCCCCTGCAGCCAAGGTTTGTATAAGTGTTTGTACCAAAGTTTTGTGATTAAGCCTCGTTACCTACTCTACTTCAAAGAATCACTAAATGTTTAATTAGGTTGGTGGGGTTTTGTTTCTTTTATGTTGGAGGACATTCATTTAGCTGTGAGATGAATTCAAACATATTTGTTGTTAAAGCACCACTTGAGGAAATCCACTAATCTCCAGGTAAGTTTTTGTCATGTTGCTGACTTTGGCTTTCAGTTTGAGATATTAGAGGAGATAAACAGCAGAGACATAAAGAATATTCGGTGGGAGGATTAGGATTGTGTAATGTCTCAGATTTTTAAGACATATCCATTTATCCCTCTTAAAGATCATTAAAGAAGTATGGGCACCATTTTTTTTGTCACATTGATTAACTGTCTATATTTGACTACAGACTAACTCTCCTCAAGTGGTTCTTAGAGCTAATCCTGTGATGAACAACTTGGGCCACCTCAAGTTAAATATTAAGCATGGAAAAGTCAATTTATAAGTTTCTATGAAGTAGGAAAGGTGCTAGACAAAGCATTTTCTGTGTGAGCCTTCTCTTATTTTTCATCTCTTGGGTAAATCGAAGTCCTGTGTGGACATACTTTCTACAGTGGGTTGGAATATGGTCGTTCCATAATGTGTCTATCTCTTAGGCTCTGGAACTTGTGGAGAACACCTTTATAGTAAATGATTGAATTTTATCTTCTTTAGAAAAGCAATATTTACATAAATGATCAGAGGGAAATTTGAGACACATAGGTGAAGTAAAGGAGTTCATGTAACCTCAAGCTGGGGAAGCCAAAGAATATTAACAGAGACCAGAACTGGAAGAGGCAAGGAAGGCTTGTACCCTGATGCTTTTCAGTTGTGTCCCTGCTGATTCCTTGATTTTAGATTTCAGATAGCAGAATAAATTGCTGTTGTTTAAATTGGCTTATAAGTTGTTATAGCTAACCCAAGAAACCGATATAATTCTTTAGTAGCACTTAATCATATTTGAGTGTAATTTTATGCATGTATGTCATTCCATTAAACTATAAGCAATTTGAACAGGGGATTGAGAATTTTAGATTTCAACATCAAGAAGTTCCCGGATACCAGCTTATTCAGCAGGGAATTTAACCATGCCCTCAGCTCTACTGCACTCCTACCAGCCACAGATTTCCAATCTGTATTTTAAAGTCCCTCACTTAAATACAGACAAAGATCAATAGCTATTTATGAAATATTCCAGTATGAAAGAGACATCAGATCACACATATATGGAAGAAAAAGAACTTGAGAATATTTCATTTTTAAGTAAAGAAAAGAAAGAACTACCAGAATAATCCTGAGTTTTTAGATGTTGAAAATATAATGGCATAGCTGGGACTGAACGTGCATGCCTTTAATCCCAACACTCAGGAGGCAGAGACAAACAGATCTCTCTGAGTTTCAGGCCAACCAGGTTTACACACCAAGTACTAGACTATCCAGGCTATGTAGTGAGACCCTATACATAACAGCATAAAAATTTAGAAGGATGTATAGATGCTGTGATGCATAAAGTAGAACTATATGTAGGATGGTTGCTAGAGCTTCACAAATCTCTGAAACCCAGCTTTTAAAACTGTGGGTTGGTACTTGTAATGAATTTAAAGCGTTTGTGGGAGTATCTATTTGTGTAGTAGCATATGCAAGCTCTCTGTACCCTTAGATCTGAGCACACAATATGCCTTTTGCACTGCATATGATATCTATACCTTCATGCCACAGGGAGCCAATGAATACTGCCTGAGACAGCTCAGATTTGAAACCATTGTGTAGTATGAATTTCACTGTTTTTTAAAACCATATATACAAAGTTTGTTGCTCTTATAGAAACAATGGTTTAATCATGATAAACAAAGACAGCATTTTCCTACCATAATTTCTCAATGTGTAAATACTTAGTGTATCTTTAAATTGCATTGTATTAGAATGTTTGATCTGAAAATTTACTGTTTGAATTGCTGACTTTGCTTTCATAAAAGAAACAACTAAATAAATTTTGACTTGGGTTTAAGAAAGAATTTCTAAAAATATTTGAGTGACTCTAAACATAAATCTACCTGTGGTATTTTTGTAATCTGGTCAGTTAATAAACAGTCACAGCTTGGCAAACTGAAAAAAAAAACATAAGTCTAACATTTTTACTGTGTATGTGATGAATATAACATCAAAATGTCAGTCAACTCTGAAAATCTGTTATATTATTTAGTTTTCTCATTACTGAACTTATATCCATAAAGAAGCAACTTAAAGGAACAATTTATTTTGGCTTGTAGTTCAAAGATAAAGACTGGCCTTGACCTACCTACCTTCCTGCCTACCCATTGTCTGTCATGTTGGGAAGGGCATGGCAGAACAAGCATGAGACAGCTGGCCACATTGTATCTGCAGTCAGGAAGCAGGGGCTGTGCATGCCTGTACTCGATCCAGACTCCGGCCCATGGAATCATAGGGGCTGCATTTAGAATGACTGTCCTCATCTTAATTAACCCAATCTAGAAATTCTTTTGTAGACATGCCCAGAAGCTTGTCTCCTATGTAATTCTAGATCCTGTCAAGTTGACAATCTGTGCTATCACAAATGTTGATGATGCTGTATATCCTGCAGTGTGAAATACTCAGAAAAAAATTTAATTTGTCATATAAAAATAATCAAGTACATCCATTTCCTCAATATGCAAATTTGTCAGATTGTTTTAAAATTTCATTTAAATGTTGTAGACATTTATGATGATAGTAATACTGATTAATTTTTCTGTTTTTATGTTTATTATGTGTACATCATTCCTCCCTTCAGTCCTTCCCATATACCTCCCTCTCAAATTCATGACTTCTTTTCATTAATTATTATTTTTACATATATTAACAAGTAAACATACGAATACAACCTTGTGGGTCCACCTGGTATTGCTTGTATATGTATGTTCTTAGGGATGACCACTTGATACTGAATAATCATTTAGGGGGTTCATCCCGGGGGAAGGCTGATTTTTCTTCTCTTGGCAGTCATTAATTAGCTCATCTAGGGGATGGAGCCTGGTGAAAATTTCCTTATCTCTGTTGGCATGTCAGTTGATATTTTCATTTGTGTCTTGTTGAGGCAAAGTATTGTTGAGATGTCATGGATGCAGCCTCCTTATCGTGTGTAGGTTATACAATCTCACAACAGATATCCTGGTCCTTTGGCTCATATAGTCTTTCTTCCCCTCCTTCTGTGCTGTTTCCTAGGCCTTAGATGCTGGGATTGTATTGTACATGTGTCACTGGTTCTCTGTATTGTGACCAGTCATGCTTTTCTATAATGGTCTCTGCCTGCGTCAAAAAGAAGCCTCTTCGATGAGGGGTGAGAGCTACACTAACCTATAAGGTTAAGTATTAAGAATATAGTTAGAGATCATAATAGTTTGAGACAGTGGCAATAGTAGGATTTTCTTTTAGGTCCATGGCCTAACCAGTCATGGTTAGTTGTCTAGGTTTACAGTAGTAGATATGAATCCCTCCTATTGAGTGGGCTGTAAGTCCAACTGGACAGCTCTCGGTTACCACCAGGGTATAAGTACCTCTATTGCAACTTTGAGGATATCTTGCCTTCCTGGTCATTGGTGTAGTCCATAGGCATCACAGCTGGTTGATACATACATTCTTTGCTAGAAACACACCAAGAACAAGGTAATAGGATTTATACAATCTGCAGTAAGAATTATTGAGAGAGACTTTTCACTTCACATTTTCAGTGTGCATGCCCACTACTTTAGATGATTTATACTTAACAATTTAGTCTTTGTCTCTTTGTACCTGTCTCCCTCTCTTTGCATTTTCCCAATAAAGAATTGTGAGTGCTCAAAAGGGAGCATGTCTTATTTTTATGTGGATGTCATAAAAAAAAAAAAAAAAAAAAAAAAAAAAAAAAAACAAACTGTGAAGGGACTGTGGAGGTGATTCGGTGAGTGAGAGTACATGCTTTGCAGTCGCGAAGACCTGAGCCGAAGCACCAGAACCAATGTGCATGACTGCACTTGTCTGTAACTGTAGCATTAGGCATGGTGATAAGCAGATCTCAGGAACGTACGGGTCAGGAGAGCTTCTGTCAAGGCAGTAAGGCAAAAAGTGATAAAGACAAACACCCAGTGTCCTGCTTTGGCACCTGTAGGCATGTATGCACATGTGCACATGTGCACACCAGCATGTGTGCAACACTCACACATGAAAATAGCTTTGACGGTATTGTAATCTATGTAACTCAAGAATCCATTTTATAGAGAATACTCTTTTTTACATTTCTATTCTTTATATCAGTTATATCTCAACTGCAGTTCCCTACCTCCACTCCCCAAGCTCCACTCCCCAATCTCTACTCTCCTTCCTCTACTCCCCTACCTACACCCCTACCTACACCCCTACCTACACCCCTACCTACACCCCTACCTACACCCCTACCTACACCCCTACCTACCTACACCCCTACCTACACCCCTACCTACACCCCTACCTACACCCCCTACCTACACCCCTACCTACACCCCTACCTACCTACACCCCTACCTACACCCCTACCTACACCCCTACCTAACCCCCTACCTACACCCCCTACCTACACCCCTACCTACACCCCTACCTACACCCCTACCTACACCCCTACCTACACCCCCTACCTACACCCCTACCTACACCCCTACCTACACCCCCTACCTACACCCCTACCTACACCCCCTACCTACCTACACCCCTACCTACACCCCTACCTACACCCCCTACCTACACCCCTACCTACACCCCTACCTACCTACACCCCTACCTACCTACACCCCTACCTACACCCCTACCTACACCCCCTACCTACACCCCTACCTACACCCCTACCTACACCCCTACCTACACCCCTACCTACACCCCTACCTACACCCCTACCTACACCCCTACCTACACCCCCTACCTACACCCCTACCTACACCCCTACCTACACCCCTACCTACACCCCCTACCTACACCCCTACCTACACCCCTACCTACACCCCTACCTACACCCCTACCTACCTACACCCCCTACCTACACCCCTACCTACACCCCTACCTACACCCCTACCTACACCCCTACCTACACCCCTACCTACACCCCCTACCTACACCCCTACCTACACCCCTACCTACACCCCTACCTACCTACACCCCTACCTACACCCCTACCTACACCCCCTACCTACACCCCTACCTACCTACACCCCTACCTACACCCCTACCTACACCCCTACCTACACCCCCTACCTACACCCCTACCTACACCCCTACCTACACCCCTACCTACACCCCTACCTACACCCCCTACCTACACCCCTACCTACACCCCTACCTACCTACACCCCTACCTACACCCCTACCTACACCCCCCTACCTACCTACACCCCCCTACCTACCTACACCCCTACCTACACCCCCTACCTACACCCCTACCTACACCCCCTACCTACCTACACCCCCCTACCTACCTACACCCCCCTACCTACCTACACCCCTACCTACACCCCTACCTACACCCCCTACCTACACCCCCTACCTACACCCCTACCTACACCCCTACCTACACCCCTACCTACACCCCTACCTACACCCCTACCTACACCCCTACCTACACCCCTACCTACACCCCCTACCTACACCCCTACCTACACCCCCTACCTACACCCCTACCTACCTACACCCCTACCTACACCCCTACCTACACCCCTACCTACACCCCCTACCTACACCCCCTACCTACACTTCTCCTAGTCCCTACCCTTCTCTCTTACTCAGATCCACTCCTCCATTTCCCTTCAGAAACAAAAACAACAAACAGGCCTCCCAGGAGTATCAACCAAACGTGGCATAACAAATTTCAGTAAGACAAGGTGACCCAGTGGCAAGATAAGGGTCCCAAGAGCAGGCAAAAGCATCAGAGACATCCCCCACTCACACTGTCCGGCGTTAACACAAACACCAAGCTGTTACGAGCAGTTTTCCCACCCAAATAACACAGAGAGACTCTATATTAGATACAAAGCAGAGTTCCCCTGGCTTCACCTAGTGTTTGGCTGTGGGTCTCTGCATCTGTTCCCATCAGTTGCTGGACGAAGCCTCTGATGACAACTGGGCTAGGCACCAATCTATGAGTATGGCAGAATATCATCAGTGATCATTTCATTGAGTTTTTCTATTGTTGGCTAGTTGTTTATTTGGTTGGTTGTTTGGGGTTGGTTTTTTTGTTTGTTTGTTTATTTTTTGCTGATCATATTTGATTCTATCCTGGGTCTTTGGGCTGCCTGGTCTCTGGTTTATGGCCATCCATGCAGTGTCAGGCATAAGCTCCCTCTCCTGGTTGGGCCTCAACCTAATCATTGGTTGGCCATGCCCACAAGTTCTGTGCCACCATTGCCCCAGGACATCTTGCAGGCAAGACATATTGTGGGTTGAAGGTTTTTGTGGCTGAGTTGATGTCCCAGTTTCGCTGCTGGGAGCCTTGCCTGGTTGAAGAAGATGGCCAGTTCTGGCTCTGTATTCCCTGTTACTAGATTTAGCTAGTCATTCTCGTAGATTCTAGGGAGTTTTCCTGTATTGGTTTCTACATCACCCTCCAAATGTCCCCCAGTTCCAGTCATCTCTCCCAGTACTCTCTCCCTTCCTTCCCCTCCCACTTCCTGGACCCTTCTGTTCCCATGCCTACCTGCTCCCAGTCCACCCACAAAATCTATCTACCCTCCCCAGGGAAATATACGTGTACCCACTTGAGCCCTCTTTGTTACTTAGCCTCTCTGGGGCTGTGAATTGTAGCCTGGTTATCCTTTATTTTATAGCTAATATGCACTTATAAGTGAGAACATACCATGTTTGTCTTTCAGGGTCTGTGTTACCTCACTCGGGATATTTGCTTGTTTGTTTGTTTTTTCTAGTTCCAACCATTTGTGTACATATTTCATGATGTCATTATTTTTAACAGCCAAGTAATACTCTGTTATGTAAATAAATATGCCACATTTTCTTTGTTCTTCGGTTGAGGGAGAGAATTATCTTTTATCTGTTACCTTAAAGTGATATGTTTGGTTGTTGGTGCTTCATGCAGTAGGAAAGGTCTGAAGCTTAATGCAGTGGTTTTCTAACTAGCTTGCATCAGAATCAGTCAGCTTATTAAAATATATTTTAACTGGTCCTGCCCTGAGGGAGTCTGCTTCAGTGAGTTGCCAGTATCACGAACTTAGTAGCTTTTTGTTTTGTTTTGTTTTGTTTTTAAGCAACACACATTTGTCTCCCATGTCAGCAGATCAGGAATTGATTTTTGACAGTAATTTTGATAGGGCTTCAATAGAGATGCTGTTTGGAACTTGCTCTCACCTGCAGCCTGGACTAGGGAAGGACTTTCATGATCATGTATTTGAGGAAACGGTTCCTTGAGCCGTTGTACTGAAGGTGTGGACTGTGGACTGGGGGCCATCTTCAACTTCTTGCTGAATGGGCTTCTCCAGTAGAGATGTTGCTTCTTCAGAAAATGTAAGCTGAAGGCAGGAAAATGGATCTGTAGGACAATAGCAAGGGTTATAATCTTTAGTGACCTCATCATGGAAGTTAATGTTATACTTTTAATAGTGTTGAAATGTTCTTTTAGGTAGAAGAAATTATTCAAGGGGGAGAGGATTACATAAAACCACAAAGATCAGAAGTTAGAAATCCATAAGAGGAGGTTTTAAAGTTTACACTCTAGGTTTGAGCTGGAGAATCTGCCCTTGTAGCAAATTTACTAAGTGGTACTAATGCTGTTGATGTCATGAATATTCTTTTGTTTCTTACCCTAACTCTCTGTTTTGCTTTTATGTCAGTCTCCATCTTCTTGGATGTGTTTTATGAAGAAAACAAATCTCTAGGTTCCTGGATTTGGGTGGGTGTGTAAGCCGATTCAGAGTTGGAGAAGTGAGCTTAGAGTCCCAACTTTATATAAGCTTCCAGCCAGTTTTCCTGTGTCCACATATCCTTCTTTCTTGATAAATGATGACCCCAGGCCTGACTGCATGGGATCAGATAGGCTTTTCTCTCATGATTCTCCTTGCAGGCCATTCCACACTCTGCTAAGGCAATTCATCCTTCTCAGTGACTTTCCAATTCCTCTTCTCCAATCTGTTCAAATTTATCCTCTGTTCTTTTGTATTTTCTTAGTTAAAAAAAAAAAAAAAACCCATCACTGCATTGTAGCAGAGTATGGAGAGGAAACAGGAAAACATGATCTGTTCATTAGTTTTAGTTCCAACTTAATCTCTCTTAACTTACATGGCAAAGAGTGTAGAACTGGAACAAGCCTGTTTTAAACCAGTGTTTGACTGAGTTGTTACTAGAATGAATACGAACTTCTGGGATTTCTTTCCAAGCTAGGATTTAAACCAAAGCAGCAGTTAGTTTTCCCAGTTTGCTGATATATGCCCAATAAATAAATACACCGTTTGAGAAAGGAATAACTCCTTTATAACTCACCTAGGATGAACTAAATCTGAAAGTAAACAGATATGTTCCCAGGTTAGAAACACTTTGAAGGAAGCAACTAGTAAAATGCAATATGGTATCCAGTAGGCAATATCAATTTTATCATTAATCAGTGTTATCTATCATATAGTCCTGAATTCTTAAATATAATCAGTTTAATCAGTTCTCTTGAACTCTGGTTCCTGTGACTGTCCCCCCATGGTGATGGACTCTTACCTTCTTACCTGAAATGCAACCTAAAATAAACACTTCCTCTTCCTTTAAACACCTTGTTTAGATTATTATTAGGAAGTACAGCTGTATTTCCTAAGGTCCTTTATAACAATGAACATTTTGCACGAAATAAGTCTCAGATTTGTTTACTACAGTTACAGATACCAGCACAGCTGGAATCAAGAAGAGGAATGTCGAAGGAGAGAGCCAGCTGCATATGGCTTCCAGAGAAGGGAATCTGTCCCTAGTGAAAGTTCTAGTAGAGTCTGGAGCAGATGTCAATCTAAAAGATAATGCAGGTTTGGTCCTTTTAATTGTTTGTGTTTTTAATTTGAACTCATTGAAATACTACTTTTTTTCTTTGCCACCAATTTTGATCCTGGCTGATAATTAACTAACTTCGAATGTATTTTTATGCTGTATTTTAATGATTTGTCACTGTGTAAATGTCCCCTTTGAAACAGTTCTTGTAACTGAGAACATTCCGAAGGGAGCACCACAACGGGGATAAAGGGAGTTAGTTGGGCTTTTCATTGGAAGCCTTAATCCCATTCTCTGACTTGGGAGAAAATGGAAAACGTCCCAGCTTCCTGTCCATTCTTCGCTCCCTACTCCCATTATAAGACTCCCTCGTTTTCCTGTTTTCACTTTCTTATTATTCTAAACCTGCTCTAAATCGATTTTGTGATGTTCTGCTTATTATAAAGTAACTTGTGTAAATAATTGAAGAGGGAAATGTAAAGCTTTACTCATCAGGTGGTCCTTTAATAGGAATCTGAGAGATGCAAATCTGAGAGGTGAAAGTCTGGGCCTGTCAAATCTGGGTTGCAGAATCAAACTGGAATGAGAGTGTTTACTTACCTTGTTTGTGATGGTGCTTCTATTAGCTGAGGTTATGAAGAGATTGCCTTTTCCCAAAATGAAACCTGTATGCTTTAAGCCGTGGTTTTAATACTAACACTTGTTCAATACTTAATACATGTACATATATTTCAATAGAGTTATTGAGTCCACTATCACAAGACCCCCTTAAAATATATTACATGAATCTCAGTAGGTATGGAACAGCTTTATTGTTTTTTTTTCTTTTTATTCTTTTCAGGTTGGACACCACTTCATGAGGCATCTAGTGAGGGATTTAGTGACATAATTACAGTGTTATTAGAAGCTGGTGCACATGTAAACTGTGAAAGCATGGATGGAACGCTGCCTTTACATGCTGCTGCTGTGGGGAATCATTTAAAGGTAACTAACAGTGCTTGCCACATTAGCATCCTCTTTCCTTGGGAAAATAAGTGGAAAAAATGAAGGTATTTTAAAGGGAGAACTAAAGTGATTGCTTTATACTAATAAACGATTTTAAAGCCTGCTAAAATTATAAATGAAGATACAATGTTGTGTATAGATTATAAAATCAATAAGCACTTTAATAAATTCTTTTTCACATATGTCATGTAGGTCAGAAGAAAACATTCAATAAATCTTTATTTTTAGTTGTCTAAAGTGATTTCCACAAAGGGTCTAATATTAGTGATGATACATATGACAATTATTTTGTTTTTTGAGACAGGATCTTAACTGACACTGGCCTTAGAATGTTTCTGCCTGAACCTCCTATGTACCAGTAGGCAACATGAGCCCCCACACCTGCCCCAGGCATTCTTTAAACACACACACACACACACACACACACACACACACACACACACACACACACAATTTATTTATTCTCTTAAATTTCATTTTACATTCTAACCACAGTTCTCCCTCCCACCCCTCTTCCTGCCCCTCCTCGCCCCCCCCGCCCCCTCCAGCCCACTCCTCCTCATGGGTGAAGGAGTCGACATGGGGAATCACCAAAGTCTGGCACAATAAGTTGGGTCAGGACCAAGCCCCTCTCCATGCATTAAGGCTGAGCATGACATCCCATCATAGGGAATGGGCTCCAACACACTAGCTCATGTACTAAGGATAGATCCTGGTCCTACCTCCAGGGGCCCCTCAGTTCAAACTTCAATTGTTTACCACATGTGGAGGGCCTAGTTGGGTCCACAGCTGTCGGTCTAGAGTTCATGAGTTTCCATGAGCTTGGTTCAGCTGTCTCTGTAGATTTGTAGATTTCCCTGTTATGATCTTGACCTCCTTTGCTCATATATTCCCATCTCCTTCTCTTCGACTGGATTCCCAGAGCTTGGCCAGGCATTCCTTTTTGAGGGGAAGGCATGGATGCTTGCTGTTTGTAAATTTGCTATTGCTTACTTGGCTCTTTTTTGCCTGGCAGTAAAGTAACTGTATCACAGGATATTAAAAGACCATTGTTTCAGTGACACACTATTTCAAATATTGACCTTAAAATTTAAGAGATTTATTTCAATTTATTTCAATGTTTTCTCCTTCATAATTTCTCAGTCCAGGATACTGTTGCCAGCTCAAAATGTGCCCTGAGGTGGTCCTGCGGTCAGAATGGCACTACTTCTGTCTGAAAGGAAAGTGAGGGGTCATCTGTTTTCAGCCCTTCTCTGGCCTATCTCCCTCCTGCCTCCCACCCTAATAAAAGCAAGGAAACACTAACCCCCCCAAAAAAAGGTTTTATTTCTAGAATGTTTTTAGTTGTTATTATTACTCTATATGTATGAGTGTTTAGCTGCCATATGGTTACTTGGAATTGTACCTGACTCTTCAGGAAGAGTAGCCAGTGCATAACCCTTGAGTCATCGCTCCAGCCCCATAACGCAAAAGCTTGAAACAACTCCCTCCTTTTTCCTCTCCTCCCCCACTTCCATCTTCCTTCTTCTTTTTCTTTTTGACAAATCTAGGGGGGAGAAATGTTATTATTACCAAAAGTAATAAACGGGCTGAGGATATGGCTCGGTCAGAAGACAAACATTCAGACCTGAGTTCAATTCCCAGAACCCACATAAGGAAAATACTCAGTGTCAGGGAAGTAGAAACAAGCACTTCCCTGGGGTTAGCCTTGCCTAACCAGGAAGCGCTGGATTCCAGTGAGAGACCCTGTCTCAAAAACAAGGTACAAGACTTCCAATGAATGATATCTGAAGTTAACCTTTGACCTACATATTCACATACATTCATGTGCCCTCACATTCACCCACATGTACACACACACACACACACTTATAGTCACAAGATAAAATCATAAATCAAAGCATTTACCAAATACAGTGCTGGGGACATCAGCCTTGGGGCTGGTAGAAATTAGTGGTCAGCTAACAATACATTCCAAACGTTTTACCACACTGTCAGAAAGATGTGAGGCCAATGTGTGATATATTTATAAACACATGTGCAATGTACCCTGACTGTATGCAGTGAAAGGAGAACGTTATCTGGGTACAGGTGAACAGTAAATGGAAAGGACTGACGTTAGACCACTACAGTTTTGTCCCTGGATTTGCAGCATTCGCATTCTCTAAGACCATGAAATTCCAGTCAGTCTAATAGCCTTACCTGGTCTTCAACATCGGCATGGCTTTTTATCTAGGAACTTCACTTTATATGTACTTAAAAAAAAAAAAAAGTGTTTTTTTTGTTTTTGTTTTGGTTTGGTTTTTTGTTTGTTTTTCTCATCTCTGTTTTATGTGTGTTCTGGGGTGTTTTGTTATGTTTTGTTATTGTTGTTCTTCTTATTTCTATCAATTTGGGGACTGGTTTATTCTTTTATTTCTAGTTCCCTGATGTGTAAACTTAGTTTATTTAAATTACTTTCTTTTCAACATAGTTGTTTGTTGCTGCATTCTTTCTTAAGTTTGTTTTTACTGTGTTTCTCAATTTTTTTTTCTCTCATGTTGCATCAATTTCCCTAAATATTTTGGCAAATTGGTTGCTCAGAAAATTACCATTTAATTTTCACATATTGTATACTTTACATTTTCCTTTTTTTCCCTTTGAGATAAGATCTCACTGTACAGCCTTGGCTGGCCTTGAATTTGCAGAATTCTGCCTGCCTCTGTTCTCAGAGCTTGGATTAAAGGTGTGCATCACTATTCCTAGCCTTCGTTTTCTTTTTGTTATTGACTTCTAGTTTCATATTGTGGTTGGGAATAATAGTTGAATTGATACAAGAATTTCTCAATCTTAAATTTCTTAGTTTTGTGGTCTAATAATTATCTTTTCTGGAGAACGTTTTTATGTTTTAGGTAAAAATTTATTTAGCTGCTTTGGGCTAAATGTGTTATTTACTGTGACCTATTAGACCAATTCGATATAAGGTGTAGTTCAAGTTTGCTGTTGCCTTGCTCATTTTATGTCTGCACAAGCTGTTCATACATTCGTTTGTCATTTCAGATGTTAACATAGCTGCTCTTTCATCTTTTACTTTCTGTTTACATGGATACTTTGCCATTGCTTTACTTTTAGCCCACGACATAAAGGCTTAAAATTAAAATGTGGTTCTTTAACTGCTTTGCCATTCTATCTCTTGTTGGGTAATTTGTTCTATTTACGCTTAAGCCAGCTATTGAAGACACCCCCTTGCATGTCTGTGTAGTATATACATGCAATGCCCATGGAGGCCAGAAGAGGGCATCGGATCTTCTAGAACTGGAGTTACAGATGGTTGTCTATCTTAATTTGTCCTATCTTTTTGGTTATGAGCATAGACTTTAACAGCTGAGCCATCCTTTTAGACCTATCTTAATTTTTTTTTTTAGACAACGGATATGGAACACAGACCTTTTGAAATAAGCAAAAGTTAAGAGAGTTCATTTCCTATATTGTTGCATTAAAAATATCAATGTATAGGACGGAATAGATGGTTCCATGTTAAGAGCACTGGCTACACTTTCCAAAGGACATGGTTCCTACATGGCTGGAACCTGCTGTCTGTAACTCCAGTTCCAAGGGATCAGATAACCTCTATGGCCTCTGAGGACACTGCATACATATGGTACACAGATACAGCAAAGTACTAGTACACATAAAAAGTAATATGCAGGAAAATACCTGTATACATACAATAAAATAATTTTTAATGTTAGGAATTATTAAAATAATCTAGAAGAAAGATTACCCTTCAAGGAAATTCAGATTTATAAAAGAATGAAATTCTACATGTGATAATTATGTAGATTTTAATTAAAAAGAATTTTCACTTTATAAATATTTTTAAAAGAAAATTTAAATGCTTAGAATAAAATAATACTGCACTGTAGAACTAACTCAAGTAAAATGAAAGTAGCTGACAAATGGGATGTAAGAAATGAAATATTCTATTGTAAAATTCATGTAATAAAATTATTTACTATTGGAAGACATAGGTAACAACTTAAAAACATGACTGAAAAAGCACCAAGGCATGGTGGTCTCTGGTTCCTTCATTGAGCTGTTATGAAGAGATGAGGGGAAGGGCAAGAGGATTCTTCCAGTGGCAGGAAGATGATGGAGTGCCTCCCTAGTTTGTGCCAATGTTTAGTTCTGTAGCAGCACCACCATGTGATTTTGTGTCCCCTCTGCTAAGACATAAACAAACGCAGACTTGATAATTGTAATTTCCATTGTAAATGATCCAATCACTGATAGCTTCTATCACTGTAATAAAGACTTGAAATCAATTATCTTATAAGGAGAAAACCTTCATTTTGGTTTATGGTATCAGATTTTAGTCTGCAGTTGATTGGCCCTATTGCTGTAGGCCTGTGGTGTATAGAACAGTGGCAGAAAGCACGTGGTTAAGCAAAGCACTTATGTTCCCAGTGACTGGTAGACTTCCTACCAGCATTAGAGTTTCTGCTACCTCTCAGTGCCAAGTTAAGAAAGCCTTTTAACACATGGGTCTTTAGGGAATGTTCCAAATCTAAACCATACCACTATTTCAGTGAGATGGTAGAAAACCTCAGATTGGATAAAGAAGCAAAATCCAACTAATTGCGATCTGTAAGGAGCTTACATCAGTTAAAAGAACAGAGATGGGACCAAAGCAAAATTATAGAAAAGATAGGCCCCACAAATAATAAAAGAAGGAATGGCTTTGGTAACATGTGACAAAGTAGATTTCAAAACAAGTGCTAGATATAGACATTTCATAATGACAAAGGAGCAATTCACCAGGTAGACATTGTAGGTTTGAAAGCATGTGACACAGAAATTAAAAGTATAAGAAAAACCCTAATGAAATTGAAATGAAGATGTAAAAAATATATAGTCAAAGTTACATTGACCATATCAAATGTAATTGAAGTGTTTCTTGTTCATACCTTGAAGAGATGTGCTTGGTGGTGATGTCTTAATATGAAAGCAGATATATGTAGACATAACTGAACAATTACCTTCCAGGCAGCTGAGATTCTTCTAGGACATGGAGCAAACCCTAATCAGAAAGATCAGAAGCAGAGGACTGCTTTGGAGGAAGCAGATGATGGAAAAATGAAAGAACTATTAAAATCTTACTGTGCTGTTGAGACCAGTAGTGGAAATGAGATTAGCTCTGCAATGACTGGTATGCAAATCAGCATTACTTTCTATTTTATACAGGGTTACATCTCTGCTTAGCAAAATAAAATCTTTGCATATATAGTATACTGTTATTTCCCAACGGGGGTAGGTGTTTCCCTCTGTTCATTAAACTCTAAATATCCATCATTTATTTCTAGAAATTAGTGTTCTAAAATTTTATTTATGGGCTAGAGAGATGGCTCAGTAGTTAAAAGTATTGGATGTTCTTCCAAAGGGCCCAGGTTCAATTCCCAGCACTCACATGGTGGCTCACAACCATCTATAACTCCAGTTCCAGGGTTTCTGGTACTCTCTTCTGGCCTCTGTATTCCTGATACATGTAGGCAAAACACCTGTATATATAAAATAAAAATAAATGAATCTCTAAAACTCAATAAAATCTATAGATCATTTATTACCATTAATTTTTCCTTTCCCACCTTCCTTTTAAATTTTTAATTTTTTAGTTCAAAAGGTGCTATTTTATTAATATTGTCATAGTATTATATCAGGTTTTTCCTTAATTTTTACATTTCTGTACAAATTTTCCTTGAGGGGCAGTGCAGTTAGTCATTTGCCTCATGCCTGAATTTTACAGTCCTTTTGGAAGATCAGTCTCTAGGTTCACACAATTCTTCAGTGGACCACTGGATGGGTACATTTATTGTTACTGGTCCTCTAGAAAGAGTATCTTGGAAGGTCATCAGAAATCACCTGTTTGGATGTCTTTGGAACTTCTGTATCCTTACACATTATTATTCAGGAAGATACCCAATTGGCCACTGAACGCATAGCCTAGCAACACAAAACACTGTAGAACATCAGCTGTTCATCTTAGGATTGTTTGGCTGACTGGAAGCTGCAGTTTGTAGCCTACACACCAAGGGAAAGGGTCAGCACATGCTGCTTGCTAGGGGAGAGACCTAAACCGAAATTGGTTTCTACAGAATGTGTCCCACTCCTGCACTAACATAAAGCTAAAAACCATTCAAGTCAAAAGATTATTAAGTCTGGGCTGTCTGAGTCTGGAAGAAGCAATCATAGACAAGTGGCACCATAACTATAGTTTATTGATAAGATAATGAAGGATAATGAGGATCTATTACCATCTGTATTACCCAAAATGGTATAAGTTAGTGGTGTTCAATTCTGGCGGGGGGGGGGTTGGGGGGAGGATGGAGTTGGAGATTTAAGAGCCAGTATATGTATGCTGAGGACTTAGGGATAAATAGAGCCTGGATGCGGGGAAACGGAGTGGGTGAAGAAACCTGTGCATACAACAAGGCAGTGTGAGCAAGGTGTGAGTGCTAGAGGCAGATGGCAGATGAGCTCGGTGTGCACTGTGTGAGAAAGGAGCAGTAAGAGTGTTTGAATGAAAGGCAGATTTATCCTATTATCAAATCGTACACATTCAAAAGTATGCCTTCCATAGATAACCCCTTTGTCCCACACTTCCCAGCCCCAGGACCTGCAGTTCATAAGTGTAGCTTGTGCATGTGTATGTTAGGAAAGCCTTAATACTGAGCTGTGCTACCAAGCCCATATGATGCTATTGGATTGGAGTTACTGGAGTGAAACACACACCAGCTGTTATGCAGACATTAGCCTCCCTACTTTTGTGAAGAGCTAGAGAATTGAAACCAAGCTGTTGAATTACTTGTAGAAGGTCTGGGAAAGGGTGACATTATATTAGAGTCCTTGCAGCTAAGATTTCATTACCTTAAAACTTGTTATAATTCCTGAAGTTGTTAGATTCACAGTAAAAAGAATATTTCAAGAAAATATATAGCTAGGCAAAAATTTATTGGAGTTATTTCGCAATAGTTTCCTTTCTATAAAGGGTTGAGAGAGAATTGTTTTTCTTTCCCTCATGATTGAACCTTGGCTCAGAAGGAGCTCAGTAATGTATGTGCTCTTGCTATGGAGAGTGCAGGAGTGAGAACACGTCTTCCCTAGCTGCCACACTTCTCACCAACTGTGGGTTTTCGAGGGCAGATGGATTTATGATGTGGTCAGTTAGAACCAAGGATATCCACTATGTAATGATTTATTAGTGAACTAGAGCATGTGAAGATCAAGGTTGGGACTACTAAAACTCTTCTTTCTTGGGGTCTCAGTATGTTTTTTCTCCCTTCCTGCAGCCGTACCTGAAGATTGAGGCTGTGTTCAGCATACTGGGAGATCTGGGCATTTGGAGATATTGGGACTCTGCTATAAAGTGCTTTCTATGTCCCTATGTCTATCATATTTTGAGGGTATACTTCCTTGGTCAGGTTCCCAAAGGAATGAGGGGCATAGGGCAAATGAGGCATAGGGCAAAAGGAACCCATAGTAGGAAAAGAGCCCAGGGTAGTGTACTACATACAGAGCAGTGAATCAGAGCGTAGACTTGGATTCGGATAACATCCACCTACTGTGATTGGGAAATTTCCTGAACTTCTCTAACTTTTCACTTCTATAAAATTTGTAACAAGCTATTTCAAATGGTTCATGTGAATATTTGAATATTTTGTTAAGATAATACAACAGAAAATAATATAGTATGTGATAAGTGTGCATAAAATGTTGTCAAAGTTAACAATAATGAGAAGCTACCAAGCATTAAGACAATAATTGTAGTCCTTATCACAACAATTACAACTGATAAAACGTTTTTGAACACTCTTACTTTCTAACTTTATTTTCTTTTTAAGTAAAACGTCCTGTTATCCGACCAAAAAGATATAAGTCACGTTCTTGCAATAATGAAAAAACAATTGATCCTCCTTCCCCTTTACATAGAGTGGAGAGACGTGAAAGCCTTCCTGCGGTAAGTGACATCGAAACTCTATTCTTCAGCCTAGAAAATATGCCACTCCTTCAATTAGCCAGTCTCTTCCCATTTTAAGGACACGGATTGAATGTGCGTTTTTCATGTCAGTTGAACAGAATGAGTTAAGAAGATCTATTCTAACTCTCTTGTCTGCAATGATTAGGAGGTGTAAATTAGCTGCTGTTCTTTCCACCCCGCTTGAGTTGTTTGACCACTCCTTTGCCCCCAGAAATGGCTGCTATCTATCCATTATGTCATCATTTACTCCCCAAATTGGCTATGAGATGTAGTTCATAGAACCCTGTCAGAGAACAAGAAAGCTACCTGGATTAACTACCTTGAGTCTCACATGGCTTATAATGTTAGAGGTTGCCATGAAAACATTCATAAAAGTAACCCAGTTATTTCTCAATAAATTATATTTATAGATAGATTGATTTAATAAGCCTGGTATTTTCAATTAAAAACCACTAAGTTTATTAGATACAAACTTAAGTAAGGCACCATCTTCAATATTATTTTGAATATAAGTTAGTTCACTGTGTTGAAGAATGAGTACATCTGCAATATAAGCAAGAAAGGAAAATCTTGCACAGATAACATCTTGAGGTAGGCATTTAGCCTGGGCACAAGTGTGCACTTTCTGTTTGCTTCTGTAATCATAATCACTTAATGAAGAATAGACTTGGGTTTTTGTTTGTTTTGCAGTTTCATATTTTATAGTTTTATTGTGATATATTTCATAAATGGGAGCATAAAGATTGTTTCACCAGGTCTAATTAAAGACAACTCACTGGGTAAAAGCACTTGCCACCAAGCTGACAACTTGAATTCTAGAACCTATGTGATAGAGAGAACCAACTCCTAAAAGTTGTCTTCTGACTTCCAGACACACACACACACACACACACACACACACACACTAAATGTTAATTTTTTTCTAGAAATTACCAAATAATTTTATTGCATGTATTTTCCACATTTCTTATAAACACCAAAGTGGAAGTTTGGAGCAGTATACTTCAGAAGGCTTTGACATGTAATTAAAATGATATACATTGAGAATTTATGCAAAGGTAGATAATAAGAGTCAGCCCATCAGTCATCACTTATGCATGGCAATTATATATGCAGGATTTTGGGAAACATACACAAAAATAAAAAACATGTTCTTGCTTATAAGAACTAATAAGGAAGTGTTTTGTAAAAGGCATTATGTGGCTCAGAAATTACTAACTTACCGAAAGGTAAATCAGTATGGATTATGTTAGGCAGAGATAGATGTCATAGAACAATAGTAACATTTTTGAGCTCTTAGTTTATAAGTGTTGTTCTTAATGTTTTATATGAAACATCCTCTCAGGTCAGGTATAAGAAAGAGGAAGAGCTACCTGCTGCAGTCAGCCAGCAGGGAAGAAGTGAGGCTAGAGGCAGGCTGGCTCTAGAGCCCACTTCATGGTTCTTACAGGAAAGCGAGGGGACTGGGCAGAGTGAGCTGAGTACATTTCAGGCAGGAAAATTGGTATCACCATGGGCACAGCGTAGTAGAGCTAAGCCCCTTTCTTGTGCTTTTTCAGAGTAGTGTCTCATATATCTAGGACTGTGTGGGATTTTAATAATATGCAATGACAGTCATGATGTCTTAAATGTGATCATGAAATAGTATGTATTGGGCTTTTCCCTCCCACATCTATAGTTTCAAATGAAGCCAAAAATGGTATTTCCTTGTATGGTTACTCCTTTTTTTCTGTTTTTCAGTAGATCTATTACATAAATTGAGATATATTTAAATTTTTCATGTCTTGAACATTCATTCATTTAAAGTTACATAAAACATGAGTGTATTTTTAGAACAAGTAGAGATGAGCTTTTAAAGCTATATATTATTTGTGCTTGTCAGACTATAAGACAGCACATCTTCCCTCTTATAATGGAATTCCTAATATTTTTATCTGGCAGCATCAGACCATCAGTGCTATTCTACAAGATATAGAAGAAAAACAAGAAAACTTATTAAAATTTGAAATAAGAAACTCTGAGGATGCAGGTAAATATATACTTCATGATAGCTGAAAGTGTGGACTCGTGTGTGTGTGTGTGTGTGTGTGTGTGTGTGTGTGTGAGTGTGTGTGTGTGTTAGGCATAAGCTGTGGTACATGTGTGGAGATCAGAAGACAACCTCAGGTATTGGTCCTCTTTTTCCATCTTGTGGATTAACAATTTCTTTGTGGTTTACCATTGAGCTGTGTACACCGGGCTGAAGGAGCTCCCTGAAACTCCCCTGTCTGCATTCCCCATCTCTCCTTAGGCACACTGGGGTTATAGACACACAGAACCACACTTGGCTTGATGTGTACTCTAGGGATTTGAACTTGGTTGCTCATACATGTCAGGTGCTTTTTCCCACTGAGCCATTTCTGTGGAGTTATTTTTAATATCTGAATTGAAAATTCAGTTTAAAAACCCAGTGTAAAGAGTAAGTGTATAATTTAAATGTTTTTAATAAACAATGTCAAATCTATTAAGTAAACTTATTTCTAAATTTTTAATGATTTCACGCATTTTTCCCTTTTGTTAGTGTATTCATCACACGAAAACTAATTGTTCACATTAATATTAGAGAGATAGGCACCCACTCCCTTGGAGACACTGACCCTAAACTTTTCCAATCATTTGGTTTGCACAGGGAGATTGTGTAACCCTCAAACATCCAACTAATGGTTTTTTCAAGTTTGGCTATCTAGAAAACAAAAGGTAGCAGTTCAAAACATTAGCAAAGATCTTAAGAAACAAACCAAAAGTTACATGAGTGATGGGTAGATTAAGAGGAATGCCATGTATTAATGTAAGCCTTTAGCTTCCTATTTGGGAATCTGGATTTGGGCATAATCCACATTTATGTGTAAGCACTCTGGATCAAGGTCCTAGTGGTACTGTGTTGCTGTTTTTCCTTTGGGTGTCATTTCTTATCCATCCAGAAAATTCACTTTATACATCATCAGTGTAAGTTCACTGAAGCCAGTGACCAAAGTAATGTCTCAAAAACATAGATCTAAGATGCATTTATCCCCTTTCATGGTCCACGCTCTAGTGTGGAAGATTGCCCCGACCCGCTGGACAATCAGTGATGTACCAGGGAACACCTAAGGAAAAATGAAGGACGAGGGATACGAAGAAGGACAGAAAGACAGTATTCTGGTCAAGCTGACAAATTTTATTTTCTCAGAGGAGGCTTATATAGGACAATAGGCAGGATGTGAGCAGGGTTTGCAAGTAGGCAGGATGAAAGGGTCAGTAGAAGGAATGCCCTGAACTAATCTTTAACTGGCTGTAAAACTGTAGCAGGAGGAATATCCTGAGCTATTCTTTAACTGGCTGTAAAGCTACAACAGGAGGACTATCCTGAGCTATTCTTTAACTGGTTGTAAAGCCACAAGCCTGTCTCTAGGAATGCTGTGCTGAACATTCTGCTTACTTCTTAAGAGGCAGTAATTTTCCATCTCAGAGGCCTGAGGTAGTGAGGATGATGATGGTCCCCAACAGAAGATCTTAAGAAAGAAAGGAAGGAAGGAAGGGAGGGAGGGAGGGAAGGAAGGAGGGAGGGAGAGAGCGAGGGAGGGAGGGAGGGAGGGAGGGAGGGAGGGAGGGAGGGAGGGAGGAAGGAAGGAAGGAAGAGGATTAGTGGAATTATCTTTGAAACTTGGATTGAAGAAAAATTGAATTCTTGAAAGATAAAAAGGAAAATGATGGAATTTTATCTTTAATTAAACCATGTTTCCAGGCGGAAAAACCATCATGTTTTTGCAGAGACTAGAAACAAAGTTGCTTCCCATAGAAGTGGTTATCATTTTCTTTTCAGAGATCATGTTCTTTGTCCTAGAAATAATGAAATTATATATTTGATATCATGTGCCACTTGTTTCTGTAAATTCTGAATATCTTACTGTGTTTTTATTGTATGTGGTTTGCTCTAGGATTGTTTGGGAATGCCTTGCTTTATGATAATGATATATTTTTGAAAAGCAATGTCAACAGTTCCAAATTACAGTGGGTAACATTTTATTTAAGGAAAATAAATATTAAGTCATTTTAGCCAAAATAGTGAGCTGCACTTTCAATGAGAGGGTCCTAAGCTTCAGTTTCAGTAAGGGACTATGTCTCAAAAATAAGCCAGTAAGACACCTCGGCTTGCTGCTCAGTCTGGCCTCTATATGCCTATTATGGTGCAAGTGTCTGTCTGCATATATCACAAATGTACACCACCACCACATACAAGAGAGACAAGAAGAAAAGAAACCTGATAATAGAGACAAGATGAATCCCAGCTCTTAGGACATAAGTCAGTGGGGTAGCAGAATTAGAATTTAAGATGGACTGTTCTTTCTTGGTACAGTATTCTTACCTGAATATCTCAGGGCATTTCATTCGGATGATATAATCAAAAAAGCTTTGATTTAAGTATGTAGGCCGCTGATATTAGAAAGTGGGTTGGGAATAATGAGTTTAAACCTAACCTCAAAAAATAGATGTCAATAGGTCTAAACCAGGGTGAACGGATTAAGTATTTGCCACTCTTCAATTAACTGTGTTTTTATTTTCTCACCGTTGTTTCCAGAACATTACATTCGAAGGATGTTAGAGATAAAAGAAGTTATGGATAATATACTTGCTCAACAGAAGACAGAAAGGGATGATCTAGCTAAAAAATACAGGTGAGTAGGAAAAGGTCTTACCCATTTAAATTATTATCATGCCAGAGTTTAGATTTGGAATGTTTCCCGAAGGCCCATGTGTTAAAAGCTTAGTTTCAAGGTTGGTGCTGTTGGAAGGTGGTGGGGTCCAGGATGAAGTTCTCCAGTTGTTGGAGGACAAACACTGGAAGAGTATGATGAAACCCTAGCCCCTCCTTCCTCTCTTTTGCATCTTGACCATGAAGTGAACAGTTTTGTTTTGCTACATACATGATGTGTGGCCTCACCATTGGATAAGAACAGTAAGCTGGCAATGACTGAAACCTCCTGAAGTCTCAGCTGGGTGATATTAGTAGTTAGGCAAAGAATTTCTTTTTAAAAATCTCTTATTAAATCTGTTCTCTGACAGAATCATTTCTGTTCCTAGCTTCTAGCTTTTGAGGAAGATCCTTACTAATTCTCATAGTGTATGCACCAATTTTCACTCCCAACATTAATGCACAAGGATTCCTCTTTCCCCAAATCTTCTGGATTAGTTGTCACTTTTGAAGATTGTCATTCTGATCAGGGTGAGATGGAATCTCAAGGTATTTTAATTTCCATTTCCCTGGTAGCTAATAATGTTGGACATTGTTTGAAATGTTTATTGGCCATTTGTATTTCTCCTGTTGAGAATTCTCGGTTCCAAAAGAGAACATAGTACATTCTTTTTAAACTGGGTTGTTTTCTTGATCCTTGATCTATTTATTCCTTGTACATTGTAGAGTCAATCATCTGTTGGGTGTGTAGATGACAACTATTTCTCTTATTATGTGGGATTCCTCTTCCCTTACTCAGTTTCCTTTGTTGGTCAGAAGGTTTCAGAATTTATGAGCTCTCCTTTGTCAATTGTTGGCTATATTTTCTGAAGGACTGTGATCCTATTTAAGCAACTCTTCCCTGTTTCTGTGTGTTGTAGGGTACTTCCCGCCCTTTCTCTAGCAGTTTCAGAGTTTTGCTTTCTGTTGCAGTCTTTCTTAAATTTCCAGATGATTTTTGTGAGAGTGAGGGATGAGGAATTAGCTTTGTTCTTCTGCATACAGACATTCAGCTTCTCCAGAACCATTAATTGAACATGCTGTTTTTCTTTTTCTTATAGGGTATCCATGGAGTCATTTAAGCATGGGGCCCTGAGAGAACAATTGGCTAACTTGGCCACAAGACAAAAGAGTCTTTTAGTTGTGGCAAAGAAACAGAAAATGATAAGACTGAAAATTCAGAACTATAAGAATGCCAAACCATTTTCTGGTATTAGTTTGAGGAAGCATTCATCTAGCTCGGACATCTCCAGTGAGAAGAAGAACCAAGAGTCTCCTAGTCTGGAACACTCAGTACAGCCCCATTCAGGCTCACTTTCTTCCGTCAGTCTCGCTTCTGTTTGTCCTGTTAATAGAAGCGTAGAACCAAAAGCATTGTCTGTGGAAATACAGAAGGACAGCCAGAATAGTAACATTTGTTTAGATGCAGAGGTAATGAAAAGAGGATCCTCTGGAAATGAGGTGATTTCTAAAGCAAATGTCCAGGGTCATGTCTTGGATGTGTTATTGAAATCCAGACACTCAGTTGGCACTGAGAAAATTAAGTTACCACCCCAGCCTGTTGCTTTTATTCCTCAAGGAGGAAATTCACAAGCAGAAAGTGCTTTTACAGAAACTGTAGTCCAAGGCCACAGACTTGATAGTTCTCCTTCAATGACTGGCACTGTAAATATTTCAGAAGATACAAGTATATTTTCTCAAAATGATGCTTGCCTACCAACTATTCCTCAGAATCAGGACCTTTCCCGTTATCCAACAAGATCAAAGAAGAAAACAGCTTCCCACCCACCATCTGGGGGAGCATCGGAACCACTGGCTCATCTAGTGACTGCTGTCTTAGACACTGATACCATGCAGCAGACAAAGCCATGTCCTAAAACAGCTTCTGTTGTTGTACATGCAAATGACCTTCAGACCTCCCCCTCCTCTGGGTGTGCCCATCAGCATCCCATTAAAAAGCCTTCCCACCACAGCACAGCTGCTAAAAAGAAAAATGTGCAGCTGAAAGATTTGATATCACTTGGAAGAATTAATCCAGGAAACGACATTCTGGAATTCAAAACACAGGTATTTTTTTTTCTCTCTAAAGTCTTGCAGATTTTATAAGCAATGTTGGTGTAGCATAGTATAGACATGTAAGAAATCAGATTTGACTGCGTTTTCTAAATGTAAGGACATACTCGCTGTGTTCTTAGGAAGAAAATCCATACCTTATTCTGGAATTTCCCTGATAGATTTTAGTCATAAGCATATTTTGGTTCTCAACTACAGTCAGTCAATGATAGGAAATTGGAGCTGTTATTAGTTCTAAACTAGGTTCAACAGTTACCAGTACACTGCCAAGCCATCCTTAGGGATGTGTTGATTTATTTCCCATAGATGGTCAGTTTAAGACCAGACTTGAAGTTTCAGTAAGAAACTCAATTAAAAATATAATAGCATGCATAAAAGTGAATGATGAGAAAAGATTCTGTTAGATATGCCTATTAAAAGTATTTTATATATTCTAATTTTTTCAAAGAGGAATTGAGAGTGGCCAAGATTACCAAGTCATTGAATAGTCTCCTTTGCTTGTGGACTCATATTTTAGAAATTAGCCCAGCCTAATTGGAATTTAACTTGAATGACTCTGTTTCCTACTCTTCTCATTTCTGGACACTTGACTTTTCCTAATTCAGAAGTTTTACCTCTAAGTTAAGAACAGAATAGTTTAATGTTAAAGTTTCAGTTAAAGGCCTATGTTCACATTAATGGTTTCATCGCCTTTCCTTCAATATTCTAGTTTGCCCACTAACCAATTTGTTAAGCAGTACCTACCTTATAGTGACAGAGCACATCAATTTTAGTAGAGTAGTTTTATTTCCTCAGATTTTGACAGTTGTAGTTCCTGGATCAGCTTAAAGAATCTTCAGCAGGGTTTTTCGTAGTCATTTTAACATCTTTATTGGGGTATAATTTCTGTACAGTGCACTGTACGTACTCAAAGTGTATTATTTGACAAATTTGACTTGTGCATTACCTTTGAAATTCTGTCCATAAACAATAACCCATCTGCTTCAGAAGTTTCTCGTGCCTGCTTTCTCTCTCTTTCCCACCAGTCCTCGGGCCACTGCTGCTGTGTTCTCTGCTCCTGATATGCATTTGTAAGAATTTTGCATATTGGAATTATACTTTATATGTTATTTTTTGTCTGGCCCCTTTCTTTCAGTCTTATTATTTGAGACCATCTTTGTTCGTTCCTTTTTTATTGGTTGTCGGTGGTTTGTTTCACATGATATTAGTTTATCAGTTCACATGATTGGCATTTAGGTTGTTTTTAGCTGGTGACTATTACATATAAAGTTGCTATGAATTTTGTTATGCAGCTTTGGTTTGAGATATACTTGCATTTTTCTTGGGCAAATAACCATGAATGGATTTCTTGAATCCTAAGATAGGTGTACATTTAACTTCTAAAGAAATTGTTCGGGTTGTTGGTAGTGGCTGACTGCATGCACTACTCGTGCATGTGGGTTCTAGTTGCTCCACATCATCACCAGTACTTAGTACGATCATTCCTTCAATCTTAGCCTTGCTAACATACAGTGCTATGTGTTAGGTGGCATGTATGTATGTGTTCTGCTTTATCATTATGGCTTTAATTTGCATGTTCACTGTTAATGATGTTGAACATCTTTTCATGTTTGTTGGCCATCCATATTTATATATTTATTTATTTATTTATTTTGATTCAAGTATTGGTTCAGATCCATTTCCCATTTTTCAAATTGTTTCTTCATGTTCTGTTTAAGAATTATTTGTGCAAGTAGGTTCTCCTCTTTGCTCCTTGGCCTCAGTGGCCTCAGTGGTTGGCTAGGTTTCTAGTACCAGGCATGGACCTTAGTCCAATTAGATAGCTGTTGGTTAGTGTCAAGCGGTAACTGCCACGTTAGGAATATCTTTCGGGTTGGTCATTCTTATGAGTCATTAGACATCACGGCCAGGTAGGACTAATGGTTGTTTCCCTCCCTTGTCAGCTTTCATAACACCTTCTGGTCCTCGGTGAGGAGGCTTTCAGGTCAAATCCAGATAGTTCAGCAATGGCTGCCTCATAATAGAAAGGCCAAGAATCCAGTAGTTAGTTGTTCAATCCATGAAACTCAGTGCCTCAGCAGTCCTCGTCTGGTACTGGAGTCCTGGAGGATTCCTGGAGAACTTCTGGTTTCCACTCTACATTAGAGTCCTGAAGAAGTTGGCTTTAATACTTGCCACAGCTACTTGCCACAGCAGCAGAGGAGACAGATTTGCCAGTTAGAGTGAAGGCAAGTGGGCAAAAAGTAAAGCTTCCTTCTTCCACATCCTTCACGTGGGCTGCCACCAGAAGTGGCTCTTTGCACCTCCAATTATTTGTAATCAAAGAATAATTTAATTAGAATGAGTTTGTAAGAGTTTTGATCTTAGTAAAATTAAGAAAATCCCACATAGGCATGCCCAGCATCTAGGGTTTTAGTTGATTCCAGTTGTCATCAATTTGTCAATGAAAATTATCCATCACACTCATGTATGTAAGAAAAAAGAAGCCATAAATTTGAGAGGGAATAAGGAGAGGAAACATGGAAGCCAGCGGAGGGAAGGAAAGGGGAGGGGTTGGAGGAAGGAAATGATGTAATTGTATTTTAATTACAATTTTTTAAAACATCTGTGTTCCAAATGAAAGTGGAAAAAAAGTGATTTGACTGACTTAAAATGACAAGGGTTTTTTTTGTAGAATTCTGACAATTTTTCTTTAAGGCAAAATTAGTAAGTTTATTAAGTAGTTGCAGCTGTGTGGATGTGGTGGTGGTACGTAGATGTCTTCACAGTGACTGCATATGACCTTGTGGCTTCATAAATTACATTTCTTAAAGAATGTAATATACCACCTTTAAAAGATCAGCTGCTCACCTGTGTGTCTATTCCTGGGCTTCCTATTGTTTCAGTATTTATTTGTCTACCTTCATATTATTATTAAACTACCTTGATTAATTTTAGTCTTCTGATTGTATTCTTTTACCAGCATATTTGGCTATTTTAAGTCACATATGAAATTTAGGATGAGTTTGTCAGTTCCTACTACAAAAAAAAGCTGTTACTTCTCTAATAACTCATTAAATATGTGAGTTAGTGGGGAAGGAAATGGCATCTGCGCAATATTGTCTTGTTGAGCCCATGAATGGAATACACCCACCCATTTGCTTTGGTCTTTGATTTTTCTCAGCAGTGTAGGGGTAACTCACTTTTCAGGTATTTCTAATCTTTAATTAAATTTGTCTATAAATATTTTTTATTAATTCATTTATTTATTGGTTTGGTTTTTTGAGACAGAGTTCCTCTGTGTAACTGTCTTGGAACTCACTGTGGCCTCAAACTCAGAGAGATCCTCCTGCTTCTGCCTCCCAAGTGCTGGGATTAAATGTCTACCTCCCTCCCCCACGCACACACTAATATTTCATAACTTCAGTTATCCAGTTTTTAAAATTTCACTTTCTGTTGCTTACTGCTAGTTTGAACAAATTGACATTTGGATATTGAAATATTATATGATTTGGTAACAAAAGATTTTTTCCTTTTTTTTTTTTTTTTTAATTTGTTTCTGACTGCAAGGACCAAATTGGGTAGAAATGAAGGAGTAAGAGCAGACAGACATCTGTTCCCTAAATTGTTTCACTATTAAGAATGTGTTAGCTCTAGATTCTTCAAGGATATTTTTTAACCAGCCTGAAAAACTTCTCTTTTACTCATAGTTCGTTGAATGTTTTATCAGGAAAGGGAGTTGGATTTTGTTTAATGCTCTATATGAATTTAATGGGCGGGATCCAGAGGGTTATTTTTGTTCTATTGATATTGCAATGCAAGAAAACAAACAAAAACCACAGCTGTCATCTTAAAGGGGAGAAGACACAGTTTATTCTGGAGCCATTTTGAGTGACCATGACTCTGGAACACATATTTAGCTTACCCAAATTCCATATTGCAACATGGAAGCAGTTTTGTGACATTTTACAGAACAAGAAAGCCACAAACCAAGGCAAGTTTAAAATACATTTGTAGGTACATCAGAGAGGCGGGCACAGCAAGATGGGGGAAGATTTTCTATAAGCACAAGATACCATCTCAGTTTTGGGGCTGGTGGAAACTAGTGATCTGCTTAGTTAAAAGATTTTTAAAGGTTTTTATCTATTAGTCACAGGATCTTGGTTCTGACATAGAGATGGACAAGGAATGGCTATTTAGGTACTAAACCTAACCCAAGATACAATAATTATCAGTCAGTTCCTGGAGGCACACCTTCTTGTCTAGATACACCACACAGTATGGTATCTAGCATTGATTGACTTTTGGATGTTAATGCTTGCATTCCAGACATAAATTCCACTTGGTTTTGGTGTACGATTCTTTCCTGTGTTGTTGAATTTGACTTGCCAGCATATGTTAAAGATTTTCTGTACCCGAATGCACTAGAGTGCTGGCCTGTTAGGATTTTGGTGTCAGAGCAACACTGGCCTCATAGAATGAGTTCACAAATGCTCCTCTCTCCTGAGTTGTGGAAGTTTGTGAAGTCTTTAACTTTTTCACAGTATTAAGCAGTAAAGCCATTTGTATCTGGACTTTTCTTTGTGAGTAATGTTTTGTTACTAATTTGTTTGTCAGGGTATTTTTAGACTATCTGTTCCTTCTTGAGTCAGTTTTGGCAGTTCATTTATTTCAAGGAATTTGCTAATCTAATTTATCAGTGTATAATTATTAATAGTATTCCCTTATAACTTTTTATTTCTGTAATATCAATATTAGTATCTCCTCTTTTGCCCAGGATTTGAGTTGTCTCACTTGATTTTCTTAGTCATCTAGCTTAAAGGTTTGTCAGTCTTGTCCATATTTTTTAAAAACCTTTTTTATTGCTTTTAGGCAAATGCTTTTTTATTGTCTACTTTGTTTTTACTCTAATAGTTTGTTACCTTTTTTAGAATTACTTGTTTCATTCTCCTTTGTTTCTTTTTCAAGTATCTTAAAGGTTAACCCATCAGATTGAGATTTTTCTTTTTTAGTATTACTATTATATTTATAGTGGCAAATACATCTTTTTTCTTATTTTACAAATCATCCACATATCATCCCAGTTCCCTTTCTCTCTCCCTCCCTCCCACACCCCCGACCACCCTCCCATCCCATTCCCCCAACACACACACACACACACACATACACACACACACACACACACACACACACATACACACACACACACACACACTCCACAAGGAAGGTGATGCCTTCTAGGAGGTATCAACAAAATCTGTCAAGTCATTTGGAGTAGGGACTAGGTTCTCCCTCCTGCCTCTAGGTTAAGGGAGTATCCCTCCATGGGGAATGTGCTCCCAATGTCCTTTTATGAACCAGGGATACATCCTGGTTCCACTGTCAGAGGTCCCTTAAACTGCCCAGGTCTTCTGAGACCCATGTTCAGGGGGGTCTGAGTCAGTCCAATGCTTGTTTCCTAGCTATCATTCTGGGGATCCATTAGCTCCCCCTTGTTCAGGTCAGCTGTTTCTGTGGGTTTCTGTAGCCTGGTCTTGTCCTCCCTCTCTGCATCTGGATTCCAGTTCGGCTCAGTGTTTAGCTGTGGGTGGCTGCTTCTGTTTCCCATCAGCTACTAGATGAGGGCTCTATGATGGTGGATAAGGTAGTCATCAATCTCATTATCAGGGAAGGGCATTTATGGTAGCCTTTCCATTGTTGTTCATATTGCTGGTTGGGGTCAGTCTTGTAGGTCTTGGACATTTCTCTAGATTCAGTTTTCTCTTCAAACCTATAACTTCTCAGTGTTCAGTGGACATTGTTTTGCTGACACTTGGCATTTTACAAACCACTGTTTTGTATATTTTGTTGGGTTTTTGTTTGGGGCAGAGGAAATCAGGTGTTAGAGTAAATCTGACCTCTCCTGTTTCATCATGACCAGAAACAAAAAGTTTACACAGTTCAGCAATTGTTATCTTAATTTTTGTTTTTTCACTTCAGGAGACTACCCACAAGGCCAGTATTTTATTGAGTGGTAAACTTAAGGTAGAAAATGGGCAGATTTACCAGAACCCAGTTGCCTGGCTCAAGGATCTTCTGGGAGGTGGCAATTATGTGACCTGGAATTATGCTTGGAGTAAGGTGAGTTATTTTTTAATTTAACTTCATAATGAAATAGAATTTTTTTTGTTTGCTTTCAAACATCTGTAAAAGAAGTCTGAAAGTTTACTGATTTGGTTTGTACCCTGCATATGTCTACTGTGATGTGCTGCATCTCCTTCCTACAGACCTATTTGCCAGAATCCCCAAGGGCATGGGGCACAGTTGACTGCACCCCCTTCTTGCTTTTTTATCTACTCTAAGAAACAACTATGCACTTCTTTTTTTCTCCCAAGAAACTTCAGTTTTTTAAATCCATGCAGGAAATCGGGATCGTGAAGTAGCTGAGTTATCATTAGTGTAACAAAATAAAGTCAAAACTTTCCCCTAAGAACAGAGGGAATGGGCAAGAACCCTAAGGCTTACAGACATACATTACATTTTCACTTTTGAATATGATACTATCTTCAAACCCCTCAAAGAACTACTGTTCTCGTTTTCACTGACACCTCTAAGACTTAGTGTCCTGCTACTAATTCACTCCTGCAACTCCACATAAGCTAAAGTCATCTGAAAGGAGGGAATCTCAATCAAGATAATGCCTCCATAAGATCTACTTGTGGGCAGGCCTATAGCATGTTTTCTTAATTAATGACCAATGGGGGAGGGCCCAGCCCTTGGTGAGTGGTGCCACCCCTAGGTTAGTGGTCCTGAGTTCTATAAGAAAGCAGGCTGTGCAAACCATGGGAAGCAAGCTGGTAAGTAGCACCCTCCATGGCCTGTGCATCAGCTCCTGCCTCCAGGTTCCTGCCCTGCTTGAGTTCCTGTCTTGACTTCCTTGGATGATGAACAGTAACATGGAAGTGTAAGCCTTATAAACCCTTTTCTCTCTAACTTGTTTTTGGGCCATCACAACAGTAGAAACCCTAACTAAGACACTACCATTATCATTTCAAAGAATGGATGATACTCCTATACTCCACTACCAACTTCAGTAAGCCCCGAAGCACAAATTAACAGGGAACAGCTTCTCATTTTTGTCCAGCCTAGCTTTGCCTACCTCCTAGCTCCTACTACACCCCCAACTCTACACTCTTCTGGTCTGTCTGCCACGCCTTCCCCTCAGCTCTCCACCAAAGGGTTATTCTTACCCATCCTCCCCACCCTCAGCAATCATCGCGGTATCTACTTTTAGTTCATCTTCAGTCCTTTTGTCAAATCCTTTTCATGGATATGTGATTCATTACAGATGTTAGCAAGTAGCATCTTAATAATCCCTTTCTTTATAACATTTTAAAATTACGATAGATTACACTCTTGCTGACACAGAGTCTTTCCTCCTGTCGTGCGTCTGGCACATTGCTTGGCTTCGTTCGGTCTTTTGATTTCAGCGTGCTGGCGTTACAGTGTGCCCAGTGAGGACTCACTCTCCTCTCTCTCCCTCTGTTGGAACGACTGCCTTCCCTGCCTTTGGATAGCTGACTGTGACACACAGCTCTTGTGCTGCACCAGTGCCTCATTGATACACAGTCTTGATTCTGGCAGTTCCTCCTCAGCCGCATCGGCTAGCCCTGAGGGTTAGCACTGAGTGACAGTGAAGCAAATGCACTAAAAATAGGGCAGTCCTTGGTGTGAGATGATATGCAGACCGTGAACAGCCTTGGGTGACCGTGAAGATTGTTAAGAGACAAACAAAGCAGGCTTTAGCACTTCCTACAGGGCACTCATGCACTTTTAGTAAAAGCTCGAGGCTAAGAAACATGACTTCATGGGGTTAGTCTGTTTGTTTGTCTGTTTGTTTGTTTTGTTTTTTTACAATCTTTATAAAAGTTTACCACAAAAAAAAAAAAAAAAAATGTACCTGCTTCTTCAGGCTCTAGAGGAACTCCAAAAGTCACAGTCACTTCTGCACGCAAGGGACTTTTTCTGTGTTGGCAGTTGAGTGTATTTCTGCTGACTAGTCCTGACAATGGTGACATACGCAGCCAGGGATGTTTAGTTGGCCAATACAAATACCAGGAAACTAAGATTGCTCTTCATCCAGCTGTGTGACAGAGCCAACTAGGCACAGTTGATTCGTACCTCTCACACAGAGGGGATCTGCTGCACAGCTTTGCCAGGGGAGTCCTGATGCTTTCTCCCACTGGATTTCATCGATGTTTCTTGATGCTCCTGCCGTCTCTTAGCTACTAGTGCGATCAGAGCAGCAGTTTTTACAACAGCCATACATTAAAATCACTTTAAAAACTAGCAGTGGCCAGGTGTGGTTGCTCACATCTTTAACCTTAGCACTTGGGAGGCAGAGGCAAGTGGGTCTCTCTGTTAATTCAAGGCCAAAAGTTCCAGGGCAAGTAGAGCTATATAGCTAGACCTTGTCTCAAAAAAAAAAAAAAAAAAAAAAAAAAAAAAAACAAGCAAAAAATAAAACCTGGCAGCAGCTACTGAACCCCAGCTCCATAGCTTCTGATCTGATATCCTTTTACCCTTTGCGGGGACCAGGAAGTGGTATTAGAGGAAGGACATTTGCCACAGAACATGGGAATCAGTGACAGCTTTAAGGAATTAATTCTCCCCTTCCAGCTTTATGTAGTCTTTGGGGATCAAACATAGGTTTCCAGGCTTACACAAGAGCCTTTACCAATGACCCATCTCACTAGCCCAGGAGGAATATATTTTTAAGCTGTCCATCTGATTTTTGGTGTGTTGACTGGAATGAGAATCTTTGACTTAGGTTAAGTTGTTGATACTTCTTCAATTTCATTCTTCTTATGTCTAAACTATGGAGTGTTAGATGGCTAGCCTTCTGACATAGAGATCTAAGATTTATGTACTTTGTACAAAAACTTCATGAGGCAGCTAGATTAACTGTTTTGCCTGTTTATGAATATAAATATAGAGTTTTACGATATTAAGTGACCCAGATTGCCTCATGGCTAACAAATACCAGAGTTAGGCCCAAAACTTAGTCTTCTGATGCTCCATACATCATTTTCTACACTTACAGCAATAACACAAAAGAGATCCATGTTCCTTTCGGTGGAAACACATTGCTCTGCACTCGCAAGACCTTGCAGTCTATCATGTGCAGTAAAAATGACTGGCTTTCATAAGAAAAAATGCCTTTCTCATTTATGGTAATACTACCCTCGTCCTAACACTCACAACTGTCTGTAACTCCAGGTCTAGAAGACCCAATGCCCTCTGACCTCCAAGGACATGAGCACAAAAGTGATGCCATACATGCAAGCAGGCAAAGGACTCATGCACATAGAATAAAAAAGTAAAATTTAGAAATCTGTTTTGTGGCATTTATATTGTAGTGAAACATATTTTGTTTTGGTCTAATAAGGACCTGCTGAGGTTGGCTGTACAAGGTTGGCTTTTATTAATTTATTAATAGAGTTATGCAAGTCTTTATTAAAGATAAATCAACCATTGAATCTCAGAAATACACAAGTCAGTGCTCATTATGTTCTGTCCCCACTAAGTCCTGTCTGTCACTCTGTCCTGTCAGAGATCTTAATGAACTGCAAGATCTAGTTTATTTAAAATCTAGAAAATGAATGACATATTTTTTAAATATATTTTTAATTCAGTGTATTTTCTGGTTGTTTTCATTTTGGGGTGCTGTTTGGTTGTTTGTTGAGACAGGCTCTCACTACATAGCATAGGACTATACGGGCCAGATAGTAAATTATAGTTCAGGCTTCACTGATACATGATTTCTGCTACAAGAACTTGATTCTCTACTGGTCCCAAAGCAGCCACAGATGTTAAGTAGCTGAATGCTTACTTTACTCCAACAAATATTTTTATAAAAATAAAGATGTCAGGCTAGACATGGCTCTGACCTATGGAATTATGAAACAATAAATTGTTCACAAAATCACTTTTTTTTTCAGGAAATACATGTATTTGCCTCTTGTAGAATATATGATTTTAAAATTTCATTTTGTTTACTTACAGGTAACATATCTTGGAAAGGAGCTTCTGAAGTATGTGTATGAAGTGCCTGTCCCTCCAGAACCTCAGAGCACTCCTCAACAGCAGCAGCCTTGCCTCCCAGGTATATGCAGCCAATACCTATCTTATAGTTGTGGGACGGGCGTATCCAAGCCTACTGGAAAATTACTACTTTTTCCCCAATTTGTTGAAATTCATATCATTTTAGCATAAAAACCCAATGGTACTTAATATATTCACAGTGTGTAAAATCACTACCTCTGTACCGTGTCAAAATGCTTTTGTGGTCGCCAAAGAGTCCTGTTTCTATTTAGCAGTTACACCCATCCTCTACATCCCCCTGTCCCTAGGAGTTGCTTTCTATGAATGGATGTGTTATCCCAAATGTTAGATACTTGGAATAATGCACTGTGGCCTCTGTGTCTAGCTTTTATACAGCACAATATTATCCATATGTGGTTGTACTTTGTTCCCTCTCATGGATGGACATACTCTATTTAATGAATATGCCACAATGTATTCATTCATCATTTGAGCTTCTGAGATGTTTCCACTTCAGAGATGTGTGAATGATGCTGTTGATAAATAGGCATACACATTTAGTTGTTTGGGTACCTGTCTTATGTTCTTGTGGCGAGATAGTGAGGAAAATTGGTATATTATATAGTAACTCTGGGTTTTCTTCCTGAAAAGTAGCCAGACTGTTTCCACATTATCAGAGCCATTTTGCATCCCCACAGAAATGACCAAAGGCCCTAAGTTCTCTGCATCCCCAGTAATAATCTGTTAGTTTCTTGTCCTAGCCACAGTTGCTTCTATGAAATTTTTTAGATGATATAATCTTTTATAATTAATTTCTTTCTCTGAGACTATTCTAAAATCTGAGTGGTTTTCTTAAACTGTCAGCACATGAAAGAGTACTTTTCCTTCCCAGGTTTGTTCTGTTCACATGTTTTCTGAAAACTTGCACTAAAATGAATCTTCGATAATTAAGCTAATATTCTGTATGGAATGGAGATAGTAATATCCTGAGAAAACCAAAGAAGATGCAGTCTCACAAATGAGTGTAATACCTTGACTTGATTGTAAAGAAACAAAATACAATCCTGAAAGTCAGATATAACCAAAATTATGTTTCCCTCCTCTGCTGCAACACCCCTTTTTATCCCAATGTCCCTGTATCAGACCTGTTAGAACCAGTCTAGGCAGAGGGGTGCTGCACAGTAGAAAATGATGATGTTTCAATGAATAAGGTCGAGAACCAAACAGAGTTTCTGTTGCCCTACCCAGGACTCCATGGTATCATTTTTCTTAAAATAGGGCTCCATAAGTGAAACTGCTTCTCTTTCCTAACTTATTCTTAACCCACCTTAACCTCCTTAGATCCTGTCTCAAAAAAAAAAAAAAAAAATTGTACTGACTCATTGTGACACAAGCTAGAGTCACCTGAGAGAAGGGAGCCCAAATTGAGAAAATGCCTCCATAAACTTGCCTGTGGGGCGATTTCTTAGCTAGTGATTGATGCAGGAGGACACTTTCTATTGCAGGTGGGGCAATCGCTGGGCTGGTGCTCCTGGGTTCTAGAAGAGAGCAGGCTGTGCAAGCCATGGAGAGCAAGCCTATAAGCAGCACTCCTCCATGATTAGCTCCTGCCTCCGGGTGCCTGCCTTGTTAGAATTTCTGTCCTGACTTCCTTCAGTGATGAACAATGATATAGAAGTGTAAGCCAAATAAACTCTCCCTCCCCAACTTCATTTTGATCATGGTGTTTCATTACAGCAGTAGAAACCAAAACTAAGGTAAATACCTCCATCATGGTAGGTACCTTCCTCCAGTTTTGTAAAGACAGGCTTCATAAAAATGTCTCCTCATTTGCAAATTTGGTCTGGGAGATCAGATGAGTGAACATGGAGAAGATAAAGGTGTAAGAAACAAGTAGCTCTGGTAATACTGGTGTTTGGTTCCAAACTGTCCTGTTGCTGTGATAAAGCAATGATCAAAAACAGTTTAGGGAAGGAATGGAGTTTTCGGCTTGCTGGTTAAAGTCCGCCATCAAGGGAAACCAAAGCAAGAAGCCAGAGGCAAGAACTGAAGGAGAGACCAAAGACAAATGTTGGTTTTGGCATGCTTCTCATGACTGGCTCAGTCTGCTTTCTTGTACAGTCCTGGACCACCAGGCAGTCCCAGGAGGCAGCACTGCCCACAGCAGGCTAGGCCGTCCCACAGCAATCAACAATCAAAAAAGTGCTCCTCCCACAGACATGCCTCCAGGCCATGATGATGGAGGTTATTCCTCACTGGGGTTCTTTTTTTTTTTTGAGTTGACACTAGTTTGGGTTAAGTTGACAGAAAATAGCATACTAACTCTGACTACAATAGGTCAATTTAATCAAATCTTGGCGTCACACCTAGTGTGACCTAATTATTTTTAAGTGACTCCTGCCACCAGTCCTGACTGTGGGTCTTGGTTGAGTAATAGTATTTCATTTCTTATGCAAAAGATAATTGATAACTTCCTAAAGTCGAAATCACTATGTCAGCGTCTTATTCTCTCTGTCCCAGTCTCTCCCTGTCTCTCTCCACCTTTCCATCCCACCCCACACATTCACATACACCACAGCCACAGCTGTTCCCGGGAAAGTCAGCAAACCTTTCTCCTCCTAGTTACTAACGTGGAAATCAAAGAAAAGCTGGACATTCTTCCTTACATCATGAAGGCCATCTGCTTCCCAATTTTTTCCCCTGTTGCCTATAACATAATAGTTTAATATTCAAAATATTAAAAAAAATCCTGATTTTTCCTTTACTTCGGATACTTTTAAAATGTATATGTTAATTTTAAAATGTAGAGGTGCCAGGGGCCATTCAACTTCTCACTACTTAGTTTGAGCCTATAAAACCACAGACAGACCCTTGCTGGATGCTGTAGGCTGCTGTTGGAGTTTCTTTCAGCTCTCTCTCTCTCTTTCTCTCTCTCCTCTCTCTCTCTCTCTCTCTCTCCCTTTATTTAACTTTTGGTTTGTTGTTGTTATTTCGGGGTTTTTTTTTTTTTTGTTTGGTTTTTTAGGTTTTGTTGTTGTTGATGTTTTGTTTTGGTTTTGGTTTTTCAAGACAGGGTTTCTCAGTATTGTTTTGGAGCCAGCCCTGGAACTCGCTCTGTAGATCAGGCTGACCTCTAACTCACAGAGATCCTCCTGCCTCTGCCTCCTGAGTGCTGGGATTAAAGGCATGTGCCACCAACATCTGGCTCATTTTTGCTTTCTTCATTAGGATTCTTGTGTGTCTGTTTTATTGTACCTGACAGAATAAGTTAGAAAAACATAAAGTGCCTTAACTCAACTGCAAGAGATGCATTCTTTCTCTTTCTTACATATCAAAACAAATTAGGGAAATAAAGACTTGTCTCTGACACTGTAGATACCAGACCACCCCTGTGGGGACTTCATGAGGTCACTCTAGATCATAAGCAAAATCTGTTTTCCTGTGTTTCCAGTGACCAGTCCTCCAAGACTGTTTTTTGGAGACAGGAGGAAAGGGGGGAATTACAAAAGTCATGTTATATTTCTTACAGTTAGGGTGGCCATGTATTTAGGTTTGACCAAAGCAGTATCTAATTTGCAAAAATTATTAGCGACATTCTCTTTCATCTTAGAAATATATTGCTTCAATGACTCAGTATAAAAGCCAAGGAAGGGCTGGAGAGATGGCTCAGCCGTTAAAGGCTAGGCTCACAACCAAAAACATAAAAGCCAAGGAAATCAGTGTTTAAGAAAACGAAATGTGACATAAACCTGGTGTATGAGCTAGTTGTTGGAGCCCATCCCCTATGGCGGGATGCCACTCTCAGCCTTAATGCATGGGAGAGGGGCTCGGTCCTGCCCCAGCCTATCCTGACAGACTCTGTTGACTCCTCATGGGAGCCCTTACTCATGCGGAGGAGTGGCCTGGGGTGGGCTGAGGGGGAGAAAAGGGGGAGCAGGAGGAGGAGTGGGAGGGAGAACTGTGGTTGGAATGTAAAATTAAATTTGAAAAAATAAATTATTCAAAAAAAAGAAAACATGGAAGAGAGGTGTCTGAGAGTGTTTTCACCTTTTATAAGAAGTATTTGTAGACTTTAAAACTCCACAGATAGAGTGTCAGATCTTACACCTGCCATTCTCTGTTAGAGATCATTGCTGGTTCCCTGGCTTTTATCCTTCTGAGAGATTGAAGAGGTCTTAGAGTTCAAAGAGATTTTTATAGGCTCTTATTTCTTATAGTCCCCAATGTTCACCATACCAGGGCTTCCAATAAATATCCATTGAATAATACTCATTGAATGTATGATAAATGAATGTATTGAATATGATCCAAAGGACACTGTTTTAAAACTGGATTTAGTTGAATGATCTTAATAAGTAGGTGTGTCAAGATCTCAAAGACTATAATAGAATTTAAGATAAGGAATTCAACAAATGGTAAATGTGATTTTAGTTACTATTATCTCTTTTTAACATTATTTTGTGTGTATGTGTGTGTACGTGTTCACATGCATGGATGGAGGGCAGGTGGAGGGCAGTGAACAACTTACTACAATCAGTTCATTTCATCTACCATGTGCTTCAGAGACTCAAATCAGGTCCTTTACCTACTAGCCCATCTTGCCAGCCCAGTTAGTATCATCTCTTTATCTAGAATTGTTGTTATTGTTGTTTCTGTTTGTGAGGTAGGTTCAGGTAATGGCTCTTCCTATTTTCTCAGCCAGAAATTAGAGAACACTCACATTCACTGTCATATTCCCTCTCTCCTTCCTGAGAAACCATGAAGTCTCTTTAGCTTTGTTCATCATTGTTCTTAAACTTAAAATTAAAAAAAAAAACAGATGACATCTGTAACATTTTATAGAACAAACAGCAGGTCCCTTGCTATACATGTATGTATGTATGTACATATGTATGTATGTATGTATGTACATATGTATGTATCATATTTGACTCTCAGTATTAAGAGAATCTTAAGTATTTGAGTTGTTCATTTTAAGATTTTCTTCAAGCCAGATATAATGGTGCATACCTATAATTCCAGCACTCAGGAGGCTAAGACATGAAAATTGCAAACTCAAAA